TGCGAGAATCCCACATGGCGAAGCAGACTTCTCCTGACTCACCCACTGCTCCCCTCAGCAGGGTGTTTCGGTCAGTCTACCTGTTCTGCTCCCTGCTCTGCCTCTGGTGAATCCTCTCACCCTCCAGTGCCACTGGCCTGTACCCCAGCTCTTGTATAAAAATAAATAAATCTTTAAATAAACAAAATCTTTCTACAGGGGCTAGATTGTGAGAAATGGCACATGCTGTTTGACAGCTGAGTGATGGGACTAAACAGGGAGAGTTAATTACATTTGACAGAAGGTATGCAAGCCAACCCAAAGAGAGAAGCACCCCATCCTTCGTTTTTGATTGTTACTCATGGATCATGAGACAGCCTTCAGCTCCTACTGAGTTGGCCTTATATTGGATAACTTCAGAAGAGCATGTTGGATCCAGCAGGTCAAATTATTTAAATGACCTTAAAAAGTCTTCACCTGCCAAATTCTCCCCTACTGCCCAATGCTGTCCAGCTGACTACATTCAAGTTAAATCCTCTTCTAGGACGTGGCTTTCCCCAGAGAGGGAAGACACATTATTAGGAACACCTTTGTATGGATTCCTTTGTTCTGACCTGAGTTTGTAAAACAAGAAAGCCTGGCACAAAATGCTGAAAGTGAGAGAAGACAAGACTGAAGAAATCCCAGCTGAGAAAGCATCTTGTCTCCGCAACACGTTGTTTTCCCTTGGGGCCTCCTTGTTAACCAGATTTACTGCTAAATCCCAACATAGTTTCTTAAACCTTTCAGAAATAATGAAAGTGACAGTGCAGGATCATAATAATCCATCACAACTCCCTTCCTATCTCAGTCCTGCTAGTGGCTGCTACCTTGAAAGGTCAGGTCCACACCAGTTTTTCCTGACTGCCGGGTCTCCAAGGTCCTTGTGCAGAAGAAGCATTTCAATGTAAGAACAGTTCAATATAGAGAGTGCCATTTTTGTGAAATCAAAGCAGTTTTATCTTTGTTCCACACAAAATGCTTTGCTTTTTCTCTCTGAACTTGACCCTGATTGATAAGTTTTTTCCATTTCTACAAGGTAATGACAGGTGAGAGCAGGAATGGTGTTCACCCAGGACTGGAATTAATACTTATAGAGCAATCCCTGGCTGCCCTTCTTTCCCCACAATTTTCTCTCAGTGGACTTCCAAGGAAGCTTTCATTTAGCCAGCTGTTTGCTCCTATTTTACATGATGGTTCTCAGTGTTCAGCAGGCACAAAGCTCCCTGATATTCCCATTGGGATTATCAGAAGCAACTGAGAACAATGAGATCTTTTTATGTTGAAAATAGAGATTTAAAAATTATTCATGATCCTTACTTCTAGCATTCTCATCCCCATGGGCCCCTTTCACTAATTAGCTATGCAAGTCTTTACACCAACTTAGCTACATATTAATCTTTTAGTTTTATTGGTAGGGTATCTTGATCTTCCTCCTATACATAGTATACACTTATATTTACGCATTGCCTATTTCCAAAAAAAAAAAAGTATATAAAAGTAACTTTAGGTCTTAGTTTAACATTAGTTCTGATTCTATTGATAAGTGCATTTCAAATTTGTCTATTCAGAATCATTGGGCCACCTCTGAAATTAAGCTACTAGTTAAGTCCAATTAATACAAAATATAAAGTGAACATTTATGAAGCTCCTACTATGTGCTAGGTGGTGTCAAGTATTTACATCCATTATTTCCACTGAATCCTCACAACACTGTGGTTACTTATCTTCATTCTACAGATAATGAACCTGTCTTTTCCTAAAGCCTGAGTTTTCTACTAAAGTATATAAATATTACGAATCTTGGGGATTACATGGATAGTGGTTTTCCAGAATACGGGATGGATACCAAAGAGCGTGATATATGAAACATTATACTTAAGCTTCAGTAAATGCCACAGTGATTTCAATTTTCCATGATCTTTTAACTTCTACCTATGGAGGATTACACTGATTTTCCATTTTGATAGTCATATAAAGTTTTACTTTAAAACAAATGTATTAAGAATTTTAAAAAGTAGGGCCTCCCTGGTGGCGCAGACGGTTTTGCACCGCACTGTGAAGCTGTTTGCAGCCTCTGCAGTGTGGGTTCGATCCCGGCCAGCTGGCAAGAATCCCACATGGTGAAGCAGACCTCTCCTGTCTCGCTCGCTGCTCCCCTCAGCAGTGTTTCGTCAGTCTGCCTGTTCTGCTCCCCACTCTCGCTCTAGTGAATTCTCTCACCCCCGCGCTTCTGACTGTACCCAGTGCTTGTATAAATAATCTTTAAAAAAAAAAAGGGTCCTGAATTGCTGACATATGATCATTTACTTTTTAATACATATGATGATCCTATAAGCAAGTCCAGTTCTGCTGTTATTCTCCGTGTTTCTCCTGGTGAGGCATCAGACATCTTCTAACTAGCAAATACAGACTAGCATTAAAAAGACCAGAGCAATCAACGTAGTTTCAATTTTCTTCTGTGTTGAATGGTGAAATTGAAATGGGTGATATTTTAGATTAGTTTGACAAACAGGGTATTCCGAGTAAATCATAAGTAGATATTTGTTTTAACAAAATTTACATTAGTTTATATAGATATTTCAATATAGAGCAGTCAACAAATTCAAGTATAAGCTGTAGCTGTTGCAATAAAAAGTCCATTTACCGGTAGGAAAGTAGACAGACACTAGAAATTTTAACAAGACAGTTTTCCAACATTACCTCTTGGAAATACAATTAATCAGAACAGCCTTTTTAGGGCCTTGAAGTAACTGTCCAAGTGTACATCTGGCAACATATTGCTTTCAGTAACAGAGGCAATGATAAACTACTTCCATCAAATATACCTACATTTCCATTGAGCCTCTGGGGGCCCACAAGACACCCCAGTATTCTTACTCTAAAAAAGTATTCTTAATACACTTCCTGAATCTATTTGGAGTTATCAGATATATCCCCATTCCCCCCCCCCTTTTTTTTAACAGAACTTAAAATACTTCCTCATATATATGAACTCAACATGGAATTTAATAAACAAGAGCTATTGGGAGCTGGCATTGGGGTCCTCAAATACAACACTTTACAAAATCGATGGCTTTAACCTGTTTTAATCTTAATGATAAGGTACACACTAAATAACACCAAAGGTGATGGAAAACTAAATGTGTTTTGAGAGCAAGGGAAAAGGCAAATGACTAAAGCTATAGCATCCAAAATGAACTTCTAGTCACACATGGACACTAGAACTTAAAATGTGGCTAGTCCTTATACCATAGACAAAAATAAGACTAGGAGGGCTCAAAGCTCTAAACAAAAGAGCTAAAATTCATAGACAGTGGATGTGGCAATTAATTCCTGGATATGATACCAAAAGCATAGGTGACAAAAGAGATAAATATAACTTCATCAAAATTCAAAACTTTGTGTACCAAAGAACACTATCAAGAGTGAAAAGGAGACCCACAGAATGGGAGAAAATATTTGGAAGTCATGTATCTGATAAGGGATTAATTAATATCCTAAAATAAAGAACAATGCAACAATAAAACAAAACTTGGTCAAAGGATTTGGACTGACATTTCTCCAAAAATATACAAACATCTGGTAAGTACACGAAAAAGATGCTCAACATCACTAATTAAGGAAATGCAAATGAAAACTACAATTAGATGACACTTTACACCTAATTAGATAGCAAATAAAGCAACAAAAACAGGAATAAGCATTGTCAGGGATATGGAAAAATCAGATACCCAGTGCCTGGCTGGTAGAAATTTAATACGGTACAGGCACTATGGAAAACAGCATGTTAGTTCCTCAAAAAATTTAAGATGTAATTACCATGATCCACCAATATCACTTTGGGATATATACTGAACAGATCTGAAGCAAGGACTTGAACATTATTTGTACACAAATGTTTGTAGCAGCATTATTCACAATAGCTAAAAGGTAGAAATCTAAACAAATGTCTATCAACAGATGAATGCATAAACAGTATGTTTTATAGATATATAAGGGAATATCAGTCATCTTTAAAAAGGAGTTTCTGACACAAAGCCCAACAGAAGAATTTTGAGGTCATCATACCAAGTGAAAAGAGACAGAAGTAAAAACATTGTACAGTTCCACTTACACCAAGTCCTTAGAGTAGTCAAATTCATGGAAGTAGAAAACTGTTATTCTTTTTTTGAGATGGGGAAAATATAATAAAGTTATTGCTTAATGGGTAAGAGTCTTTTGATGGTCAAAAAATTCTGGATAGTAGAAATGGTTGAATGCACAACTTAAAAATAATGGTAAAACACAGTAAAACAAAAACAGACAATTATAAATCAGACACATCCTGCAGGGGAGGAAGAGGGAGAGGGAGGGAGGGAGGGAGGAACACAAGGGACTGAGGTGATGGTGCACGGGCATTGGTGAGGGAAATTCTATGGGGACTACACCTGAGAGCAGTGGAGGGGGCGCAAAATATTGTTTAAAAATGAACAATGATGTAAAAAATAAACTTAAAAAATGGTAAAATGTTTTGCTATGTATACTTTATCACAGTAAAAATGTGACTAGGGGTCCTCCCCGGTGGCACAGCAGGTTGAGCCCAGCACTGTGAAGCTGCCCGCAGCCTCTGCAGCATGGGTTAATTCCTGGCTGGCCAAGGAGATACCCACATGGCATTGCAGACCTCCCCTGCCTCGCCCACTACTCCCCTTAGCAGTGTCTTCAGTCCGTCTGCCTGTTCTGCTCCCTGGTCTGTCTCTGGTGAATTCTCTCACCCTCCCATGCCTCTGGCCTGTACCCCCATATAGGGTGTGAGGTACTTATTTTTTAAATAAATCTTTAAAAAAAATAAGTGACTAGTGTGAAGAACTGAAACTTTAATTTATATGCTTAAAAACTGGTAATTTAGTCATTAACTTTTAAGTTTTGAACAAATATGTATATTTCATAACGTCTCACTATTGTAAAGATCTTATTTGAAGTATAGAAAAAGTCTCAGGGCTATTTGAAAAGCCCACTCTGTTTTTAAGCCTGGGGCAATGTTAAGGTACCCATCTCCTTTCACTACTAGGCAAAAGTATTTCATTTCACATACAATTTACACTAAATTATAAAGTCTTTATGCAGTATTCAATCATAGGTAACAAGCATTTAAATATCTACAGAATTACACACAAGTTGAATTCACAGAAGCACAGAGTACATATCAATACTATCAAACTTTTTTATTTTTGTCATTGACAACACACACAACACTGTGACTGTATCATTATTTTGCTTGGTTTCCTTAAATATTACTTACATATGCATTAAAAATATATGTTTACATTTAAGAAAAGTAACACATTAAGGAAGTCCTCTGTAAACATAACTCCTTCTCAAATATATTTTCCTGCTTTGTTTCATACCTAAATAACTTAATCTATAAAGTCATAAATAAAACTATTACTTCTAATGGTCAAAAAGTATATACAAATATGGGAGCCTGACAAAAGTGTTCTCTTATGATTAATAAATGACAACAGGCAGTGTTTTCAGTGCTTATTATCAAATAAATGTCTATTCACAAGTTGTTATTATCCCCCAACTAGTTTTGTCAATAGACCTTCCAGTGCACTTGGTAAAGATACCATGCATTTAAAAAGTCAATAGTCCAAAGACTAGATTTTTAAAACAACAGGACAGAGGGTTGCCATTTAAATATTACTAAGACTTACTAAAACCACTTCAGCATGTCTGAAGAAGAATCCTGCTAAAGAGTGAAAGCTTGTAGTATCATTCAAATGGAAGCTAACAAAGTCTGATATTTAAGAAACAATAAAATAAAATTGAAGTTGTATTAGGCTTGAGAAAAATATTGCATTGAGAGTCTATTACAGAACAGAATCAATGTTAACCTAAATTTTCTAAAATTTATTTCGAACCACCATTCTCAGTTAAAACTTCCCAGGTGAAAAAAAGGACACACAAAAATAACCCTAGAAAGGCATGTTATAATCCCTGATAAAGAACTTTTGATTAGATTTTAATGGCTAGACATCTCCTCATTCAGAAAACATTAACATATTTTGTTGAAAGACATTTCCTACTTGGTGATCTATTAATCACTCAAGATTTATTAGTTAAGTGCTCAAATGATTTTTCTGTAATAAATGAAAAGAATTTTTCTTGTTAGAAATGTTTCATTACACATTGTTTTATTGTTATTTAGGCCATCATTTGCAGAGTATATAAACTCGAAATGAAACACATTCTCAATTAATATTCTTATTAAATTTAAATGATTCAAATGACACAATACTAAGCTTAGCACTGCCATTACTTTAAAAAGTTTAAGTCTCCAAAAATTTTTTCAACTGGTTGATTTGGTTCTTATCTATTAACTGCCAAACTTTATGTTTAAAAAACTAAATATTCTTTGTTAAGGAGCAGAACAAGAAATGTTTTTCTGTTCTCATTAAAATCAAAGATTCTGATACACATAATGAATCTAAATCAAAATTCATAAATGGTGGCTGAAATCCTGACAACTTCTAGCCTAATACAACATAAATCCAGTTATTTTGCACAAGTAATTCAAAATTAATGTTTATAATGGAAATGTCAACAAGTCATAACTACTACATTACACTGATGGGCTCCACCATACTTCAACCAGGCACAGCAGATGTGCATATCGGACAGAGACTGCTCAGAAAATTAAAGCTATCAGAGCTATGAATAAAGAATACATAAATATGAAGACAGCAATGGCAAACCATTCAAGATATTTTTTAAAAAAAGTAAGATGTAACATAAAAATATCTGATAGTTCTCTGTAAGCCACTTTCCAATGATTTATAAAGCTATGGTTTTATAATTCTCTTTAAAAAGAAAATGTGTCTACACTGCTGCATGCAGTAATTTCATTGTACATTCTTAAAAACAATGCAATCTTCAAATCCTTTTGCAGAGCTTGACATAACTCATCAGGATTTCTCCAGAAAGTCAGCTTGTCGTATTTTCAGCAGCCTAGAACAAGAAAGTAAGATTCATTATAATAAAACTATAGAAAAAGAGACACCATGATGATAAATTTGTAGATATGCACTGACATTAACAAACATCTCTTCCCCCACATATATCAAACCACTTTTATCATGAGAATGCAGTGGTTTTCACTTTTTGTAGTACATCAGAACTACCTTATTTATTTATTTATTTATTTATTTATTTATTTATTTATTTATTTATACAAGCACTGGGTACAGTCAGAAGCGCAGGAGGGTGAGCGAATTCACCAGTCAGAGAAGAGAGCAGAAAGGCAGACTGACGAAGTACACTGCTGAGGGGAGCAGTGGGAAGCAGGGGAGGTCTGCGAGCCATGTGGGACCCTCACCCGGTGGCCGGGGATGGAACCGGCACTGCAGAGGCTGCAGGCAGCTTCACAGCCCAGCGCTCAACAGCTGCGCCACCAGGGAAGCCCTCCTACTACATTCTTGACAGGAATATAAACTGGTGCAGCCATTTTGGAAAGCAATTTGGATCTACCTTAAATAATTAACAATGGAAATACCTTAAGATCCAGCAATCCCACCCGTTGGCATTTACCCAAAGAACATGAAATGGCCAATTAAAAATATGGTACATTGTGGGCCTCCCCGGTGGCGCAGTGGTTGAGCGCTGGGTTGCGAAGCTGCCCGCAGCCTCTGCGGCGCCGGTTCGATCCCCGGCTGCTCCCTGGCCAGCGGAGGAGGGTCCCACATGGCGCGCAGACCTCTCCTGCCGCCCGCTGCTCCCCTCAGCAGTGTACTTCGGTCCTTCTGCCTGCTCTGCTCCCCGCTCTGGCTCTGGTGAATTCTCTCACCCTCCCGCACTTCTGACTGTACCCAGTGCATGTATAAACAAAACAAACAAACAAACAAATAAATAAATAAAAAAAAAAAAAAAAAAAAAAAAATATGGTACATTGTATATTCTACACTGATAATCGTAGCATGATTTATAATAACTAGGACATGGAAACAACCTAATACCCACTGATGGAGGACTGGATAAAGAATATGTGGTATAGTCATACTGATTATTACTGAGTCATAAGGAAAGACTAAATGTTGCCATTTACAGCAAAATAGAAGGAACTGAAGGGAATTAAGTACAGTAAAGCAAGTGACAATAAGAAACATTGGCATTTACACAGCAGACAATTCGACTAAGCAAAATACTTGCAAAAACTAGCAGACAATAAAGGAAGTGAGGTTTCTAGGTTAAAAGGAAAGAAGGAAGGCGGAAGGACTAAAGGGATATAAGGAGTAGTGACTGGGGGCGGGGGGATAAACTATAAACAGATAACCCAGAAAAATCATTAAAAATTTGAAAAGATACCTCACAAAGGAGAATGTCGAAACAAACAAGTAAAAACCCATTCAATCTCATTTAATACTCAGAGAATGCAAATAAGCCACATGAGACCAAACACCAAACCCAAACACATGCATCAGAATGACCAAAATTAAAGACTAGCAATAATAACCAAGAGCATAGGCAAAGAGAGCAAGGGATAGTCATATGTTACTGGTGGGAATATCAATTAATACAATTACTTCACAAAAGTCTGGCATTATCTATTTAAGTTGAAGCAACACATTATTTAAAATCTAGCATTTTTACTGCTAGATACACACCCAACAGAAATATAAGCATACAAGTATCAAGAGACATAAACAACTATACCCACAGCCACATATTCACAATATTCATTCATAGCAGGAAAGATATAGTGTACAATGATTACGTATTACATGTACATGTGAGTGAACTGAACAAAGTAAAAGAACCCAGCAGAAAGATTATAAGTTCAAAATTTCACAAAATTAAACAGCAGTGTTTAGAGAGCCACAATTAACCAGTAAAAGAAGGTGTCTGCTGTAAAAGTCAGGGCAGAAGTTACTGGAGGGGACAGCAGGAAAGAGAAGTTGAGGTTAATGATGAGGGGAGCACAGAGGAGACTTCACGGGTGCTAGAAATGAGAGTTGTATGGATATTCTTTTTATAATACACTTCCCAAGAGTAGAATATAATTTAACCAAATGCTGCTACTTTATAGCAAGAAGAGTCTTTCCCTCCAACATCCAACAATATGTTCCTCACATGGGCCTCCCCGGTGGCGCAGTGGTTGAGCACTGGGTTGCGAAGCTGCCCACAGCCTCTGCGGCGCCGGTTCGATCCCCAGCTGCTCCCCGGCCACCGGAGGAGGGTCCCACATGGCGCGCAGACCTCTCCTGCCACCCGCTGCTCCCCTCAGCAGTGTACTTCGGTCCTTCTGCCTGCTCTGCTCCCCGCTCTGGTTCTGGTGAATTCTCTCACCCTCCCGCGCTTCTGACTGTACCCAGTGCTTGCATAAATAAATAAATCTTTAAAAAAAAAAAAATGTTCCTCACAAGTTTCTTTGTATTTTTCGCAATCATCTGTTCATAATGAGACATACATATACACACATGTATTTTCTAAGACACTTGAAACTTTCTCTGTAACTGTCCTCTCTTCTGAGCTTACCAGAAACTCCTTTTTTTTTTTTGGTGGGACCCTCGCCGGAGGCCGGGGAACAAACGGGGGCTACAGAGGCTGCAGGCAGCCTCGAGGCGAAGCGCTCAAGCGCTGCGCCACCAGGGGAGGCCCCAGAATCTCCTTTAATGTCCATAATTCTACCAAAAATGTCTTCAAGGCAATCTACGCCTTTTCTATCAAGCACCTTTAAATTTTCCAATCTCTTCTCACCACCCCATTCCAAAGTCACTTCCACATTCTTAGGTGTTTCTTAAAAAGCAACACCCCACTACCCAGTAATAAACTCTGTATTAGATTTCCAAGGTTTCCATAACAAAGCACCACAGACTGGGTCAGCTGAAACAACAGAAATTTATTCTCTTAGTTCTGGAAGTTAAAAGGTCAAAATCAAGGGGTCAGCCGGGCCATGCTGTCTCTGAAGACCGTGGCAGAGGACCCTTTCTTCTTTCTTCCACTCCTCTGGTGTCTGCTGACAATTCTTGGCCTTTTTTGGCTCATAGGTGCCATTACTCCTAATTCTGCCTGTTGTAACGTGGTGTGCTCCCCTCCGCACACTGGGTCCACATGGTGCTCTTTTCATCTGTCTAAATTTCCTGTCTTACAAGCACATCACTAATCATTACAATCTCATTTTAATTTGATTACTACAGCAGATACACCATTTCCAAATAAAGCCATAATCACATGTATTGGACATGAGCTTATCTTTTGGGGGGCAGATACAATTTTACCTATCACACAAAGAAAATTCTAAACACAGTTGGGGACTTCCTGGAAAAGATAACATGGTCTATAACGGCAATTTTTGTGATTTGTACATCTGCTCCTGGTCTTCAGAATTTCTCCTGATGGTGACAGAAGCTGGTTTAATCTTGTTCAACTAGGATCTTTATATATTTCATCATTAATCATTTTCTAAACAAAAGCATGTTTAGTTAAAATGAACTAATATACAATCCTCTAACCTTTAGTGCTTCAGTGGCCTTTCGAAGTTCTTTAATAACTGATGACAAAGCTTCTGGATTAATTCCTTGTTCACAAAGTCGTACACAAATAGACAGGGTTTCCATATCTAAGCCAGTATTCAATATTCTTGAAATCTCAAGCAGAACTGAAAAGATAGAGAAAACTTTTTGAAAAAACCTTACATATGCGCATTAATACTTTTGTTTTTAATCCACACAATACACGAACAGCATCAAAGAACTAGAATAGTATCACCAGATTTGGAAATTGACTTCTAATACTGTTTTGCCTTTACTCAGCCCTAGGAACTTAAGATAACCTCCCTCCATATAACCACCTTTTGTATCTCGGTTTATATTCTACTACTCATTTACTATGCATCCAAAATGTATGCATCATTATCAGGATTATTCTATTTCTTCATTTTTTTAGTTATGATTTTACAATGTAAAACATTCCATTTTATGGAAACAGACATTATTTAACCACCATCCTATTTTGAGTTGTGTGGGTCTCATGTTTCCCCTATTAAAATATTATGATTACCAATATTATGTACTAATTTAATTTCAATAGACTAAATTCCTAGAAGTGAAACTGATCCGTCAGCAATACGCTGGTGGACTAGGGTTTAAGTCTCAGCACTGTCACCTCTCTGATCCCCAGCCAGGGAGTTAACCCACACAGCGCAGCAAGACCTCTCCTGTCTTGCCTGCTGCTCCCCTCAGCAGTTTATTTCAGTAAATCCACCTGCTCTGCTCCCACTCTGTCTCAGGTGAGTCCTCTCACCCTCTGCACCTCTGGCCTACACCCCAGTTCTTCTACACAAAAATAAATGTATGCTTTTTAAAAAAAGCCTTAAAAAATGCTTATAGTTTGAGAGTATACATGTCTGTTGAATCTAGTAATAATCATTTTTTAACTTCATTTTCATAGTACTTCATTTTATTTTATTGTAGTATTGTCTTTGACATGCAAAGCACTAACACAGAGAACCAAGGATATAAATACATAGATTCAACCAAGCTTTGTTTTATGGTGGTTACTTTACTGAATGTGTTTAGAAGTTTTTAAGTCAATGGCCAACATGTTTTGCAGTTCCCTCTATCATTTTCATTTTTCTCCTGGCATTATCCTTACAAAATTATTTCCCATACAAAAGTTACATAATTCTAGCACTCTAAAGTTTACCCCATAAAGATTTGAATATCTGAATCCCTGGAATGTGGGTGAGACAGGATTTAACTTTTCTTCCCAGAAAGTCTGAAGTATTCACATTGTTAAAGGGGTCCTTTCTACTTTTTCATATCAGACAATCATTTTCATCTCTAAAAGTTCAATTTGTCTCTAATAAATGTTATCCATGCTTCCACCTAACTTTCTGAGCACGTGAAAAAATTTTAATGTCCTCATTTGCTAATTATAACATCTGTGTCAATTTTGCATGTTTTAACTGATGGAATTTTTCTCCTCACATGGGTCATATTTTCCTGCTTTGCATACCTAATTCTTAAAATGCCAGACATTATAATTTTTTTTTAAGATCCATTCATTTATGCATATAAGAACTGGGGTACAGGCCAGAGGTGCAGGTGGGAAGAGGACTCACCAGAGACAGAGCGGGGAGCAGAACAAGCAGATGGATCGAAAGCATTGCTGAGGGGAGCAGCGGGCGAGACAAGAGTGGTCTGCTGCGCCATGTGGGTTGCTCCCTGGCCAGCTGGGGATTGAACTTGTGCTGCAGTGGCTGCAGATAGCTTCATAGGTTGTGTCTTAACCCCTTGTGCCACCATGGAGGCCCCCATTATAAATTTTACCTTGTTGGGTGTTGGGTATTTTCATATTTCTATACATATTCTCTAGCTTTGTTATGAGATGCAGTAATCTGGAAACTGTGTGATCCTTCTGGGTTTTCAATGAGGTAAAAACCCTTCTGGGTGATCTGCCCATTGTCTTATGAATTATGAAGTTTCCCATTCTAGCAGGAAAAAAAGGTACTATTCTCAGTCCTGTGTAAACTGTTCTTTCCAATCATTTGGATGGTTCTTTCTCCAGCTTCTTGGGTACTCGCTCACACATGTGCTAATCAAAGTTCTGGTGAATGCTGAGGGGGACCCTTGTATAGCTCGTCAGAATTCTCTCTGCAGCTGTTTCCTCTCAGGTACTCTGTCCTGCAAACTCTTCCTGCCTTGGTCTTCCTAGACTCTAAGCTCCTTCTGCTCAACTCAGGGTGTCTACTGGGTTCTGCATGGCCCCCACCACTTATCCTGTAGTGTGGTCTGGAAACTCTGAAGGGAGCTGGGGAAACCACTGGGCTCACATTCGTTCATTTGTTTCCTGTCTGTCAGGGATCACTGTCCTTTGCTGCTGATGTCCACTGGCTTGAAAACTGTTCTGCATATTTTTCCGGGTTCTGTTGGTTATTTTGGGTAGGAGGGTAATGCCAGTCCTTGCTACACCATCTTGTTTAGAAGCTGACAGCCCTTCCCATTTGCATTTCTTCACTCCTGATAGTCCAACATACCAATACTTTGTTGTTGTTGTTGTTTTTTTCAGTTGTATCCAGACTTTTATTCATCTGTTGAATTTATTTTAAAAGCTCCATTTTAATAATTCTACATTTTCCCCATAGTCATTTATTACAACTTCTAATCTTGTGGTGGTTGTTTCTGCCTTTATCTATTTGAGGTTATATTCCCATTTCAGTCATTTTTGAGACTTCTGTTTTCAAATATAAGCAGCAAAGAGTGTGCTTTCTAGAGCCAGACTACCTAGGTTCAAATTCTAATGCTATTACTTAGTAAGCAAGATGAAGTGTCAGTGACTTTATCACTCTGTAAAATGGAGATAATAATGGCGCGCAGACCTCTCCTGCCGCCCGCTGCTCCCCTCAGCAGTGTCCTTCGGTCCTTCTGCCTGCTTTGCTCCCCGCTCTGGCTCTGGTGAATTCTCTCACCCTCCCACGTTTCTGACTGTACCCAGTGCTTGTACAAATAAATAAATAAATAATAAATCTTAAAAAAATAAATAAAATAAAATGGAGATAATAAGAGTACTTATTTTATAGGAACATTATGAGGATAAAGGGCATGCTTAGAATTGTGCTTAGTATATGGTAGTGCTCAATAATAGTTAGCCATTACTACTACTTTCTCTTTTTTTTCATGTTAGTTTTTTATGCTTTTCATATATCTTGGGTGCTTTATGATTTTCAGCTGAAAGTGCATCTTCCAGACTTGTCTTGGATTGGTGATGCATCCTTGGCTGTGAGATTACCTCCTATTAGCCTCAGTCCTGTAGCTCATGCCTTGTGGAAGTATCCTGGCTCCAGACCCACAAGACAAATGCATGGTGAGTCTCAATCCTTGGCCATGGCAGATGGCACATTTCTGGCCTCCAGCTTCTTTCAGGCAGGGCAGCATGCTTTGTCAGGTTTCATTCCCAATCTCCTGCTGTGGTTCCCATCTGCTCCTTTCTTTGAGGAAAACCTCTCTAATCAATGGAGATTTCCCTTTCTTGTTTTTGAACATGCCTGTGCTGATTATAGTATTTTAATATTACTTCCAGTCATTTTTATATGCATGCAGTGAGAGAGTGATCCAAATTCATTCTTTTATATGCTTGGAACAGAAAGTTGCAGCAAGTGCTAATCATTATCAATTTTCAGAGTGAAGCATCGATGTCTTTCATTTTTAGTTTTTTGTCATGCATTTTGTCATGGATTCTACTTTACTCTTATATTCTAAGAACTTAATATCTAGGATATTATTTATCTCTACTGAGCAGCCAGTTACTTTAAAGAACTATATGGAGGCTTCTACCAGTTTTGTTGTTGACTTTCTTGTATAATCACTTTACCTCCAAGTAACAGTTTTATGTCCTTTTATGTCTTCTTTTCTACTCTTGAATTACATGCTGCCTTTCAGGTCCATTTCAGTACTACTATTTCTTCCTTTAAGCTTTCTTTTAAAATTGACATTAATCTTTACTTCCTAGCTTCATAAAATGTAATCAGTACATATTTCCGTTGTGTCTACGATGAAAGTGGCACCTCTAAGTATTTTGTGCCTATTATGCTACTGCTGGAAATTCAGCTGTGAACAAAACAGGTAGGGTCCCATTCCTCATGAACATTACAGTCTAGGAGAAGGGATAGATATTAATAACTGACTTCAGTTACTAAACGAATGAAAAAATAGCATACTTCCAAAATAACAATGGCATCTTACCTAGCTGTCCAGGAAATAGTGCTGAGGAAAGACTTATCTGAAGTAGTAACAATTAAACTTAGACTTTTAAGGGTGAATAGAAATCAACCTGACTAAAGCAGAGGCAAGCACAAGAGGCAAAGATGGAGAGCCAAGAAAGTGGCTTGTAAAAATTCCTATGCTAAGGAGAACTTGGTAATTCACAGACCTGAAACGCTCAGGCAATGCAATTAATCAAATCTGAGATGAAGGAATAACTGAAAGAGATTAGTGACGAGTAAGAGGTAAGGGAGGTGAAGAAAGCAAGACTAACTCCCAGGTTTCTTTCTCACATGAGCAACTAGATTGATGGTGGTAGCATGGACTGTATGTTCTGCTGAAACTGCCTTGCACACTGTGGAACTCTCCTAACTCCTTTTTCTAGCTTACTGATTATAAAGTAGCACTACAATGAAGGCTCTCGTAAGGAAAAAGCTCATTACTATGAGAATAGTCAAAAACATAATTACTAGTGTAAAATTATAACTAGATGCATAAAGAAAATTTAGGCTATAATAAAAATTAAAGTAGGAAACTATCAGTAAAGAGTACCTAAAATTTCAAAATGTTGGAAAGCAAAGAGGCAACTTAGTATGTTAGAGGGGAAATAGAGGTAATTGAAAGACCTATTTTAAAGAGGAAACGTAGAAAGAGAATGCTGAGGATCTAAGAATGAGAGTAGAGGATCTTATGCAAAGCCTTATATTAAATCAGAGGAGCTCAATGAGCTTCCGTTCTGAGTGAGCTGCAGAGATAAATGACCAAGTCTACCTGCTTCCTCCCTTGTCTGAAGTATCTTTATCAAAATCCTTTTATTTTATAATAAAATTAAGATGGTTTATAGCTGAGTTCTAAATCTTTGCAAATTACTGACCTTCATTAAAAGATTAAATCACTGTTAACTGATTAATACTGATGGGAGGGAGGGAGTAAGAGAATGAAGGGAAATATACTGGATCTTAAAAGGAAGGTAGTCAAACTCAAAAGACTTGGTTTTCATGGACAGATTTAAGTATAGTGAAATGCCTCATTAACAGCATTTCAAATAGTGATGGTATTTGAGGAGGTCCAGCAATCGCTTAAACAAGCTCAATTTTATTTCTGGGAAGGAAGTGGGATTATAAAATAACTGCATTTAGGGCTGTTTTTTTCAGTTCAGCACATGGCCAATTATTTACAATGTGCTGCTAAGTCTACCCTCACAAACAACAGGGAAATTTTTATCCATCATTACCTTTGCAATAATGTAACTTTGCATTTTATGTGACTGTTGTGGACTCCATTATGGGCATGACAGGATTTTCTGTAGGATTTAGAGTTTTAAGGAACATGACAATATGTAACTACCACACTTGGTAAATGTATACCCCTACCAACTTTTTATTTTCTGGTTTGTGGGCAAACTGAGTGTAGAGGAGCACTTACAAAAGTCTCTCAACTTTCTGCACTTTTTCAGGTTTTTACACTCTATAATCTTCATATTACAAAAAGATCTGTCATTAAAAATCTTGATGATGTAACTAAATATAAACCATATGCTCTCATTTATACACCAGAGATAAAAGTTTCCTATTTAATGGGATCCTGTGCCTTTATCAGTAAAGCACTACCAAAAGCTCACATAAATAGGAAATGGACTAGAAGTGAGCTCTCCATCCCTTATGCTCCCCATCCAGGGCAAAAAAAATGCACTGGCTCCCAAGCAAAGATATAAAACAATGTTACAAAGATATAAATACGTAAATCCAACTTTCAAAATCAAACAATCCCTGATACAGAAAAGGATGGGGTAACAAGCTGAATGTCAGCAACAAAAATTCTGCTTTTCAGAAAAACAGCAAAACAGACACTTGCTAGTGAAAAAATTAGATGCAAAGGCTCTAACACGCAAAACTCTCTGAAAAGCAAATAGGAGCCAATTTATTAAATGCCAGAAGGTTTATCGAAGCCTCTAAGGAAGGACTATGAGGGAAGTGGAGAAGACAGGGTAAGTGGAGCTAGAAACTAAACGGATAGGTAGATGGGGGAGCAGGATGGGGACAAAGAAAGGTCTAAGTGAGATGACATCTGACAGACCACAACAATAACTATCTTTCACTGGTGGTTTTTGATGTCTTTTTTTTTTTTTTTAAATATTCACAATAACCCCAGGAATCAGTAATCTCATTTTACAGGGGAGAAGGGTTAAAAAAAAACAAAAACAATAAAACTTAAAAATGTTTAAATAGCTTGTCCAAGCTCACCACCAAGGGTATAAAGTGTCAGAGACGCATTAGAGGGTAGAGAGAGGCTAATTCCACTACTTATTTCCTCTTCCGATACAAGAGCAGGTGAGACATTCCCCGTGCCTCCAGGAGCCTGCAAAGAGGAAAATAAACCCACAGCCCCAGGACACAGGCGGCACCTGCTCCAAGATGAAATTCGAGCAATTCTAACCCAGGGGCGATGAGTTCATACATTGGGCATTAAAACACGCGTGCTTAAGTGCAAGGGACAAAGAACACAGCGGTGACCAAACACACAAGGCACTGTCCTCCCCCTAACACCTTGAGGGTCTACAGTTGGGGAGGAAGGGAGGTTGCAGTTTCGGGGGGGCTACCGTTTCAAGGGCTCCCGCAGTGCTCCCCGCTCGGGACCGTGAAGGGGCGCGCAGCACAGGGCACCGGGGCCGGGTCGAGCGAGCCGGGTGACGGCGGGGCGGGCGCGGCCGTGCGTGGCGGGGGCGCGGCACGAGGGGAACCGTGGGCGCGGCAGAGGGGGGCGCGAGGCGGGCAGGGCGCGGCGGTGGGAGGCGCGAGGCGGGCAGGGCGCGGCGGAGGGGGGCGCGACGCGACGCGACGCGGACAGGGCGCGGGTCCGGCGCGGGAGGGACAGGGCGCGCCGGGCTGACGTGAGGGCCGGAACGTCGCGCGCGCGCGCCAAACTACGCAGAAGCGAAGAGACAACTCTCCAAAGATGCGACCATCAACCCTGCGGTCCTGGCGGGTCCTTGGGGAAGCTCAGAAGCTGCTGTTCGGGGCGGGAACGGGACCTGAAATCCTCCCGGGCTCCCCCCCGCCTGGGAGCCTTGCCTCTGGGGGCCCGCGGCCAGGTAGACGGGCGGAACGGGCACTCACCGTCCATGGTCTCCCTCACCGCGTTCAGGTTGGCCGCCGCCGCTGCACCGGCGCCGCCGCTGCTCGCCATGGTGCTGGCCGAGGCAGGCGGAAGGAGGGCCTGACCCGGAACTGGAGCCCCTTCCACTCTCCCGGGCAACCCCCCGCGCGTCCCCCGCTCACGCCGGGCAGGCTCCGCCCCGCGCGCTCGTCGCCGGCGTGAGGCTGCGTTGATTTGAATTTGGAGCCTCGTTCCTCTGCGCGGAATGTACAGCGAGGAGTTGCCATTCGAATTTGCTACGCGGCCTCGATGCGATTGGCTGGTTCGCGGACAGCGGTGCGACGCGATTGGCCAGTCAGCCTCAGGCCCCGTGCCCTGGTTGGCCCGAAGCAGCGCGGAAGCGGGGAGTTAAAGAGTCTATGCCTGTCGTGGGAGCTGGCCTGTCCTTGCGGGAGCACCCTGGAGTCACTGTCGGGGGCTTCCTTTTTATAGCCACCCCTCGGTACGTTCTTTGTACTTTCTGGCCTTCCCTCTTGTCCCGAATCGGAGAGCTCACTTTTCCCGGCTTTGGATCCCCCGGTTTGCTAGTCCCGGGATGAATGGGAGCAGCGAGTGAGTGGGTCCCCAAGTGTGGGGCACGAGACAGTCTGGTCTCGTAGGATTGGGGGGTGACACTGGTGTGGGTGTCCTTAACTACTCTCCAGCCAAGGAAGCCAGCTGCACTTCAACCTTCCAAGAAGTGGTTTCTTTTTCTCTAGTTATTACCCTCTTTGGCTGGAAGTAATGCAGGCCTTCTTCTATCTTGGGGGTCTTAGCGAAAGGTGGATATTTAAAGAGAGTCAACCAAAGGCGGTTGATTTCTTAGCCCCGATCAGTGGAACTTCTCACGCGGGGCTGATGTGCAGGAAAGGCACCCGTGCACAAGCTTCCTCGTCTTTTATTTGCTTGCTATAATTATGTTAACTGCTGTGCCGGAGGGAACTAGTGGGATATTCGAAGGATGTGCAAATGTTTATAGAGACTGAGATAATGAACACAGAACTATAGGTATATAAGTCCTTTAGTTAAAGGTGTTTTGTGGCTGTTCGAACATATAATTGCCTGTGGGGTCGACCAGAACTCTCTCATGTTTGATGTATTACTGTTTAGAAGCCATTTAACTTCTCGGTGCTTGTTAATTTTCGAGCAAAATGATCTCCAGCTTTCAACGTTATTTCAAGCATCGCTTGAGAAAATGTATGCGATACTTTTCTCGTAAATTAATATCGGGGGTGTTAGGTTTCTAGTTGTTTTGTGAAATATATGTTGAAAATATTTTAATTGTCATATGATGTATGGATCTTTGTAGAGTTGTTATACATATTTCTGATCTTTTTAGTTTTCTCACTGTGCTATGGAGATGTCAAGGAATCAAAAATGCAAATAACACCGGAAACTCCAGGAAGGATTCCCGTTTTAAATCCTTTTGAAAGTCCTGGTGATTATTGTAATCTCCATGAACAAACTCTCTCCAGTCCATCAGTTTTTAAATCAACGAAATTACCAGTAAGTACTGTTGACTAATGTTTACAAATTATTTTAAATGTAAAATATCTTCGTTTACAAGGTAAGGGGACAATTTATCATGGAGCATACATACGCAGAATGAAATGCCTTATAACTAATGGCAATAATGGTTATAGTGGTTGTGCTAAAAATAAGTTAGGCTTAGCCAGCATTTCTTTTTTTTTTTTTAATTTTTAATTCAGTAGATAATTTGTTCATTTTCTGCAACTTCCAGTGTAGCTAAATGCTATGGTTGGTGATGTATCTATGATGACCATATTTAGCAAATATTTGAATGTTGCTATATATCAGAAAAGTGCGGTAAATACAAAGAGGCATAATAAACGTGTTACACATGAACAAATCAGGGTCATTAGACATAGACTCTCAATTGATATTCCGTTGCAGGGATCAGCAAACTTTTTCTATCAAGGTCCAGATAGTAAATATTTTAGGCTTTGCAGTTCATCTGGCCCACAGGTCACTGTTACAACCAATCACCTCTTCCTTGCATCACAAAAGCAACTATAGGCAATACCTACACAAAGAAGTATGGCTGTGTCCTGTTAAAGCTTTATTTATGGACATTGAATTTTAAATTCCATGTAATTTGCACATTTCATGCAATACTGACATTCTTTGGGTTTTTGTCAAACATTCTTAGCTTACACATTGTATTTTTAAAAGTCCACTTCTATTCTTAAGGAATAAACACAACTAGCAGTTTCAAAAAATGTGATATGTGCAATGATTAGTGGTTAAGCACAAGTGCGATATGGAAGGGAAAGTGCCCTTAAGGTGCTAGGGAAGACCTGATCATTTGTAGATTATTTTTACTCTTCACTACATTAGAGAACAACTTTTGAAGTCTGAAATTTTAACCTCGTAAGTAATCTAGAAAAACTGCAAACTGAACGACCGTTTATACTCATTTTCATGTCAGCTTGAACAACAATAAACAGGTATGTGTTAGAGGAAAGTTTTGCAGTTAAAAAGTTTATATTGAATCACTACTCAGACCTCATGGTTTTTCATTGACTCGTTACGTTTAAGTTATGTTAGCATTCATAAAAATAAATAATGGGATGACTGGAGCTTAAACCTCAAGTCTAGAATGTATGACATCTTGGGTTTTTAAGTCCAAATTTGTGAAAACTAAATTCTGAATTACAGAGTTTAAACTTTTGGTTTTGTTAGATAGTTGAATACAGAAAGGCAATACTGGTTATCATTCATAATTATTTTAAGGAGCAACTTGTGAGTTTCTGCAGGCACTTTGTAGTTAGCACTGTTTACTTTTTTACTGAAAGTAATGACCTTTGATAACTCTTAAAAGATTTTGCTTTTACATGGGCATGTTGTGTAGCTTATGAGTGTGAATTGTGCAACATCTGTATCTTCATTAGTTTACTGTGACTTTTCTATTTTTATTTGATTTTTTAAAATCACCTGTATGGAAGATTTTAGTATTTTAAGAGATACAGTCAATTCAGTTGATATGGTACGATTTGGTTACCATTTCCCATTTAATTTAGTAGAAAATTAAAATGTTTAAATGAGCTTTAAATATTTTTGTTTGATAACTATTCTCATAATTTTTGAAGCTCACATTGGTTGTATTTTGATGAACTATTTTAGTTTACTTTTAATCATAAACTCCCTTTCTTTTGATAAGACTCCAGGGGAATTTAGATGGTCTATTGATCAACTAGCTGTAATAAATCCTGTAGAAATAGACCCCGAAGACATTCATCGTCAAGCTTTATACTTAAGTCGTTCTCGGTAAGTTTTCTTTTCTTGCACCTAAGTGTAAAAATATACTATCTAGTGAAGATGAATAGGAAATTCCAAAAATTGAATATTTTTATAAGTAAAGGTATCAGGGGAGAAAATTTTTGATGCAGATTTGTTTTATAGAAGTGCAGAGTGAGTTCGAGGAAGTACAAGCAGAAAGATTCCCTTGCTAACAGTTCTGAATCTGCACAGGAGTCCTTTTCTTTTAGAGATAATCTGCTGCTACTTATAGGACCACTCTGCCTCCTCAAAATTTGGTAGAGAGAAAGATATTTTGAAATTTGTATCTGACTTACATGATTGTGGCTTTGTTATAGAGCAACCCCGATATTAAACGGGTTCCTGGCTGTGGGTCCTCACCCGCGCGCTTAAAAGGGACTTATGAATACTCTACTACAGACACACGCAAAAGGGTTAATAAAAGGTTTATTTACAAGAGAAAAAGAAATAAGGAAAATATACAACTCAGGGAGAAAATAGGGAAATAAAGTCTTTAATGCGTCCTACCCGATCCGATGACCTGGAAACCCAAAGTCACTCTCTGGGCTGGCCGGATGCTGCGAGCTGGCGGAGAGCCAAAATGGAGAGCCCCCAAAGCCCACGTGTCTGCCTTTTGTATCCACCTGGCTGCTTAACCCCACCCTCAGGTCCCAGCCACCTTCCCTTTGGTGGTGATGGGATTTGGAGTTCCCAGTGTCTTTGGCTTTGACCTGGGGTGGGGGTGGAGTCCACAAAGCCTATATGGAATTTGCTTTGGGACATCCTTTTCCCCCTAACAGCTTCTGCTACTGAATTTTTTTTTTTAAAGATTTATTTTTTATTCATGCATACAAGAACCAGGGTACAGGCCAGATGTGCAGGAGGGTGAGAGGATTCACGAGAGACAAAGCTGAGAACAGGCAGATTGACTGAAATACACTGCTGAGGGGAGCAGCAGGCGAGACAGGAGAGGTCTGCCACGCCATGTGGTAATCTCACCAGCCGGCCAGGATCAAACTTGTGCTGCAGAGGCTGCGGATATCTTCACAGCGCTGTGCTCAACTGCCTGCGCCACTGAATTTTCATTTTGAATTTTTTTGTTTGTTTTGGGGGGTTTTGGTGATATGGGGTAAAGCAAATTCTGCTTCATTGCCATTTACATCCTCTTACCAGGTTAAGGCACAGTCAACAAAAAGGTATGCATTAGCAACAGAGAGCTTTTCTAGATATCATACTCTGACAAGGACCATTTGGGGATCTAAATTGCATTGTCTTGAATTCAGCCTAGTTGAGAACAGTCTTATTTGTTGATGTCCCCAGTGGGTTTCCAAGCCCTAGAGTGTTTCAGACTTAAATTACTTAACGGTGCCTAATAGTGAGAATTTGCACTTCTGAGGCAGAATAAATCTAGTTTTTGATTGCAAATTGCAGGTAGTAGTATCTGTTACTAGTTTGAGGGACTATTGTTTATGTCAGTTTTAGTCTGATATCTTTTATATTTAAAAAACAGTCATACTATTATGAGTAGCTTTTAAGTTTTGGTCCTGAGGTAAATGTGTTGTTAGTTCAAAATAAAGGGAAAGCAACTTTTTCCTTTAACTTTCAAATCCAGTCACACAAAGTTACACATGTTGAGACACTCTTGCAAATATGTCTGACTTTACCTCTTTCTCTTTTGGCTACATAAATTGATGTTTGGTTACTCACTCATTATTAACTCATGTCCATTCAAATTGTTATAGAAATAGAGTATAATGGAGATAGAGTGGATAAGGATCTTAACTGAAATCTAAAAAATACCTTGAAAAGAGAAAGTAGAAAATAATATCTAAAAACAGATGAGTCACACATGGTACTAATTTTTTGTTTCTCAATAAACAGTGTGTGTTATTTTGCCTCATCTTTTCAATATCCAACCATGGATACTACTATCAATCAAGAGATAATGTTAAGTATTAGGAACACTGAAAAAGTACAGAATATTATTCCTGTCCTCTAGAATCAACAATACCTAGTTCTGGTATAGAATCAACAATACCAACAATACTAAGTTAACCAAGTTGTGACATAACATATGTAGTTATTAATAAATTGTGTATTGTCTAGATAAATTTATGAAAAGAATATTGGCATATTTCAGTGCATAAATTTGTTGTGTAGAGTTAGGGAAAGAATTGTAAAAGTCCCTCATTTTAATTTAATTTACTAATGCAACTCAGAGAATGGGTATGATTTCTAGCAAGAGTAGTGAGTACATTCATAACAAAACATGTTGATTCATCTTATAAACAAGCAGTGCTTTTCTATGTCTCCATCTAATCCAAGTTTCCTATCTCAGTGCTTCCCACCCTTTTCATGCCCTGCTACCTATCAAAAAAGATAATCATACCTGTATAAATAAATGAATCTGCCCATACAGAAGCTGAATTATCCTGCAGCACCCTCTCACCCCAAAGATCCATTGCAGGACACGCTGGTAACCTTTATGCATCATGCCAGTATTCTGTGAGTTATATAAGTACCTGCCCTACTTATGACTTGGCTCTGCAATCTTTGCTGAACTGATGGTCATTGTTTCTAGCAATCACCTGAATATTCAAGTTCTTAAAGTCCCTCTGATGAAGCAGCAGTTTCTGAATGGCATAATGCTAGTTCAGCATTTAGTCATATTATGTGCTGCCATTTTTATTATGCACTGTCATTTTGACCTGGTGTGATAATGATAAGATGAAGAGAACTAATTTATTTTCCTTAAAATGACTGTTAACACTGAGATATGTGGATTATCATTTTCTGTGGAGACTGTTTTCTCATACTTTCCATACTAAAAAAAAAAATTCACGATTTTAATTTCTGAAACAAGTACGTACTTATGATAAAATTTGTTGAGCCACAAAAAATATGTATATATACATGGAGAAATTTGAGAGAAATTGTTTTACACTATTGTTTTTAAAATAAATTATCTTAACAGTTTATCAGTGGAAAGCAAATATTCTTTGCTGAAACAAAAAAGTGGTCCTAACAAAGCTAACTACTCAGTCTTTAGCAAGTGTAAGTCTTATGCTGGGACCTGACACTTTATATTAAATCTTACCACTGATGAACTTGGGTAGCTGCAATTGCATATTATGTGAAAGTGGGGGGAAAAAATAAAAGGAATTCATTTGGTCAAAATTTTATGCTGTTTACATTTTATTTCATAACAATTTTGTCTATTCAGAATTGTAAGGATGATAGTTTTCTTCTATTACAGAATAAGAGTTGATTCTGAAATTATACTTATGTTAAATTTGCTATCATTGAAGAGAAAGATATAAACAATTTTTTGATTTCTGTGGAATGAAACACTCCTTATTTGGTGTGATTAAATGACAAAGTTGATTTAAATCACTTAATTGTAATATAATAATGTCAGTCTTTTAAAGGAAAATATTATTTCATTCAAACTGAAGAGGGAGGTAAGCCTAACAGCATTACTATGGAACATCTAAATAGTATCCTTTACTAAATGTGGTAAGATACCAATTTTTCTTTTAAAAAGAGCGTAACATTTGCCAGTTTGAACAAAAGGAAATTATTTGTTCTAAAGGTTATTATTTTAAATGTTCAGTCATCTGAAGTAATGGCATGGTAATTTTTCTTCTTTATCTCTGTATAGAATAGATAAAGATGTGGAAGACAAAAGACAAAAAGCCATTGAAGAGGTAACTTAAAATTGTTAAGCCAATTAAGTGTCAATTCTGCATGCATGTCACCTCTTTTAGAAAGACTTCCCAAAAATTCTTTGCTCTCTCCACTGCCCACCGACTTGCCGCCTCCCTTTGTTAAGATCTCTCTGGGAGCCTCCCTGGTGGCACAGTGGTTGAGCGCTGGGCTGTGAGGCTGCCTGCAGCCTTTGCAGGGCTGGTTTGATCCCCAGCCGCCCGCTAGGGTCCCACATGGCGCACAGACCTCTCCTGCTCCACCTGCTGCTCCCCTCAGCAGTGTACTTTGTCACTCTGCCTGTTCTGCTCCCTGCTCTGGCTCTGGTGAATTCTCTCACCCTCCCGCGCTTCTGATTGTACCCAGTGCTTGTATAAATAAATAAAAATAAATCTTAAAAAAAAAAAAAGATCTCTCTGGGTCCCCCTAGGACTAATGTTTTTAGCTATTCAGAGCTTTACTTACTATACAGTAATCTACAGGTTAATGCTTTTTCCCCTAGTTTGAATTCTTCTTTAGTAAAGATTGTGCTTTTTTCATCTGTTCATTCTCAGGGTGCAGTGTGTCTTCATTGTGCCTTGAGAGGATGGGTCAGCACAAATCTCTTTTTCACCTTAAGTTTATGTAGAGGAAAGTGGAACATTTTCAGACCATAAATTGGCATTGACAGTGATTTTATCTTTCGTGGTGGTTAATTCTTTGGATTATTAAGGCGTAAACTGTTTGATGACAGAAAATATCTTAACACTAAATAGAAAAAGTATATCACATTGGTAGGCTGTTTTTTTAAAAGTAAAAATTAGAACTAAGTTTTTCACTTTTAGTTTATTTGCTCAATTCCTCTAAGAATGTAAAGTTTATCTATCTATTTTCTCAGGTGTTCATGTCATGGTAGTGTTTCTTAATTTTGCTTTACCCTCTCAAACCCCCTTCCACCCACCTCTATTCCTTACCTCTCCTGTACCCGATAGGACTTCAGCTTTATTGTGTTCAGAGATCAGGAGATAAGCTGGCCCCTTCATACTTATTTTTCTAGTGTAAGTGTTGCCTTTTTGTATATCCAATCAAACCTTTGTGTTTGAAAACAGTTTCATGTGCTTTATCCCTGCCAATTACTATCTGCTTTTTAATCTATCTGGTAACTTCAAAATTCGTTTTTTTTTTTTTTTTTAGGATTTATTTATACAAGAACTGGGGTACAGGCCAGAGGCACGGGAGGGTGAGAGGATTCACCAGACAGAGTGGGGAATAGAACAGGAAGACTGACAAAATACACTGCTGAGGGGAGCAGCGGGCGTGACTGGAGAGGTCTGCTGCGCCATGTGGGTAGCTCCCTGACTGGGGATCGAACCGGCACTTCAGAGGCTGCGGAGCTCAATCCACTGCGCACCGGGGAGGCCCCACCTCAAAATTCTTGTTCTGATATAGTCACTTGATTCCTCCTGGGGTGAATATACTTAGGTTCTTTCCCATTTTTGCAGAGTTTGGAAAATTTGCATTCTCTTCAGAATTGTCCATTTTAAAAGGAAATTCAGCAGGAAAACCTAAATAAAATGATGTCAGAGTGAAGACTGGGATTAGTGTGTCAGAAGCAAATTCCATTTTTTTATATGTGCATTATATACTTAAAAATAGAATAAATGCATGTACAGTATAAAAAAACCAAAAAGCTTCAAATTATAAAAATCATATAAAATGAAAAAATGGCCTCATCACCCACCCCATTCCTTCAGAGTACATGCTGTAACATCTTGTGTGTATACTTTTAGATTCATTGTATGTATTTAATAGCATATAGTTTTTAAATATCTTAGACACATAGGACTATCATTCTCATTCTGTTTTGTATCTTGCAATTTTCCTTGTTAATTTTTCTTAGCTATTTTTTCATAATTAGCACACACAGATTTTTATGTTCTTTAGTAATAACATAGTGTTCCATTGTATGAATGAGCCATAACCTTAACCGCCTCCTATAGATAGATGTTTAGGTTGTTTTGATGTTTTTCTATCACAAATAATGTTGCAGTGGACAACACACTTGTAATATAGCTTTGTGTACTTGGGCTCAACTTGCTAAGTCAGAAACTGAATTTTCAGCTTTGATTTTGCCATATTGACCTTCCAAAAGGTAGTATCCATATTTACTCCTGGCTACATTAAAATATTGTCTTTCTCATATGTACAATACTTCTTAATTTGTTCTACTCTTATAATTTTAAAATGTTTACATTTTATTTGGATTTGCATTTTTCTCAGTGAATTTATATATTGCTTCAGAAATCAGTGGGATCTTTATATTTCTTTTATTATAGCAATTCTCTATGTCACAACCTGTGCCTCTCCCAGGCACCCCCTTTTTTCATATCTCTTCTCATTCTTAGGTTTTGCTCCCCAAAACATAGGAAAGGGAAAAATACTTTATTAGCCTTAATTTTATATGCGGAATGACAGAAGAAAGACATATATTCATATGCTCTCTGATTAGTAGACTGGCTCTGGCCAGCTGGTAAAGGTTTAACCACTGGCCCTCTGGCTGTGGGGAGAGCACTGATTTCTTCAATGCCTAGTGTAACTACTCCAACTGTGACATCGTCAGGTCACTCATGTGATGTAACTGAATAAGGAAAGTATACCATTATACGCAGGAGTTCCTCCACACAGGTAGAAAACAGTTAGCTAACCTCAAGAGCATATAGAAAAAGAATTAGCAAGTGAGGGTTTTGAGTATATTTTACTTTTATTTTTAATATAATTTATTTTACTCTAGGTTTATATACTTTCATCTTTAATATTGGCTGTTTAATAGCCGACACACAAAATTCCTGAAACTAATAATTCAATCTTGAGTGCAAGCCAGTTCCAGCATATCATTCATGTTGACTTAACCTGTATATGCCTAGCTCCACTTCTTTTTCCTCTTCATCCTCCTTTTTATCAGTTTTCCCTCAACCACCAGAAAAATAGTGGGGTGGAGGATAAATTAAAAATGTTTATAAATTAATGCCCTTAGCGTAATTTGCAAGATTCAAATTTAAGCACTTGACTCGAAGTACTAAGGTATCTCTACACTTATGCTTTAAATTTCTTCCATTTCACAACCTTTAGCCATTTGTGCTTTTAAGTATTAAAATTTTAAATATAACTGTGCAATGAGTGTATATTGAATGGTTATTTGAAAATAGCACTGGTACCTTTTCATGTTTTGGGGACAATTTATGCCTAACTGTACGATTTTAATGTTCCTAGTTTTTCACTAAGGATGTCATTGTACCCTCTCCTTGGACTGATCATGATGGGAAACAGATTCCAGAGTATCATTCCGGTAAATGTGAGTGTACTAAAAATCATATGAATCAAAATCGTAAAAATCTGATTTGTTTAACCTGATTTGACTATATGGTGCCAGACTGGTTTCCAGGTGACCACACAGTCTCCACGGCCACCAGCAGCACTTAGGGTCTTTCTGTCCCCATATCCTACCAAGACCTGGCATCACCCAGTTTTTACATTATTGCCTTTCTCATGCATTGTTTGACATTTTAAATGTTCTAATTTTTATTTCTTTGTATACCAATGATATCTTTTATTTCCTCTCTTATAATATACTTACTTATAATTCATGATTCACGTTCCTATCGAAGCTGCTATATTTTTTTCCTTTTACTTTTCTAAGATAGCTGTATAATGTAGTTATATTCCAGACATTTCAATATATCCTCTCCCATTCTGTCTTAATAGGTTATGTTATGTTATTGATCTTTTTGGCTGGATAGGAAATTCTTATTTTGTTGAATCAAATAAAAACTTTTACTCTAAAGCATTAAAAAAAATTATGCCTGCATATAAGCGTGTGTGTGTGTGTGTGTAATCTATATATATAAATTTGGCATGCTTCTTGTAAATTAACTTTTTAAAAAAAAAAGATTTATTTATTTATACAAGAACTGGGGTACAGGGCAGATATGTGGGAGTGTGAGAGAATTCACCAGAGACAGAGCCGGGAACAGAACAGGCAGACTGACTGAAATACACTGCTGAGGGGAGCAGTGGGAGAGACAGGAGAGGTCTGTTTCGCCATGTGGGTTGCTCCACGGCTGGCAGGGATGGAACCAGCACTGCAGAGGCTGCGGACAGCTTCACAGCACTGCGCTCAACTGCCTGTGCCACCAGGGAGGCCTAATTAACTTATTTTTTTAACTTCAAAGGAGCACTAGGATAAAACTTGAAAGATTACTACTATAGCACAGAAGGAGGCAAAAGGTGATGTTTAAGAAAAGCATGGTTGCTCTCCATGATGTCAGCCTTAAAAGATTGAAGGTGAATGTTAGCCATCCTTGTCTCTTTCACTTGGTTTATTTTTTACTCTGGATATATAAGATATTTCATTTAAAATGTTTTATAGGTATTAACATAAATAATGAATCTCCAGTTGGAAGAAAGCTTACTATTAATTCTGAGAAAAGTAATGGTAAGTATGAATATAATCTAAAAAGAAGTATGTTCCATATTAAGCTACATTTGCCTTTAAATTCAAATCATGTGCTAGGACTTTTCTCTGGATTTGAAATTGTTTACTTTTTATGAGTGAGCTATATGAGAGTTGTCTTTTATTTATTTTTTTAAATTTTTTTAAAATTTTATTTAATTAATTAATTTATTTATACAAGCACTGGGTATAGTCAGAAGCGCGGGAGGGTGAGAGAATTCACCAGAGCCAGAGCGGGGAGCAGAGCAGGCAGAAGGACCGAAGTACACTGCTGAGGGGAGCAGCGGGCGGCAGGAGAGGTCTGCGCGCCATGTGGGACCCTCCTCTGGTGGCCAGGGAGCAGCCGGGGATCGAACCGGCGCTGCAGAGGCTACAGGCAGCTTCACAGCCCAGCGCTCAACCGCTGTGCCACCAGGGGAGGCCCGAGAGTTGTCTTTTAAATAGAGTAGAAACATCTAGATGTGTTTTAGAAGTAGCAAGTTTGTTATTTTCTTATTCAAAGCTTTTGTGAATGAATTTCTGGTTTTGGAAAGGATTCATTTGAAATATTGTTAATATTGGAAAATTTGTCCTCAAATATAGGCTGCCTTCTTTTTTATTCAAGTCTCAGTAGCACAACTAGGAGTTAAGTTTTACCATTAACAGGTTTACATCAGTAGTGGAAGGTGTGGGGAACCACTTATAGAAGGTATCATGTTATGTAGAAAGATGAATAAATGAATTAACTCAGTTTGGCTGGAGCATCATGGGGAGATGGTTGATTGGGAAGCATGCTAAATTGCATGTAATGTGCTTGTATTGATTTATCCATGTTTGTATTTATTTATCTGCTCACTTCCAGCTGCTTGTCAGACGTTATTGTCTCTTCCTGTGGATTTTAATTTAGAAAATATACTTGGTAAGTATTGTATTTGTGTAAGCCTTTACTAACTGTAAGTTAGTAAGGTTTGTTCTGATGGCTTTTTGTAAAAGGTGAAAGATTTATGCTACCTGAAGGGAAATCAGAGTATTGATGATGGCTTTTTGTAAATGGGACTATGTGGCAGTGCCTCTCTCTAAGGAAGTCAGGAAACCATCCTGAAATTTCTCCCTTTTCTTTAACATGGCCTGAATTAATCTTTTTATCATAATTAGCTTTACTGTAGACTTAAGCTGTTCATAGACACATCTTCTTGGAATTACCTAAGCTAGTAACGAAGCACTCGAAACAGAAGGAATAGTTTCAGATTTAAAACATCACATATACAATTAAATTTTGCCTTCCTTTTTGGGGAAAAAAAAAGTTAAACATTTAGTATATGCTCATTTTAAAATCTCATATAACTGAAATGTAGTTTGCTCTTCAAAATAATTAACTTTGCCTTTTGTTCTCTTGCCTTTAAATAAGGTGACTATTTTAGAGCGGATGAATTCACAGATCAATCTCCTGGAAACCTCAGTTCTTCGTCCCTCAGGAGAAAGCTATTTCTAGATGGCAATGGAAGTATTTCAGACTCTTTACCTCCTGCATCTCCCACAAGTCCTCATGCTGGTGCTCAAACATCACTTGAAGTTTTTTATTCAATAGATTTATCTCCTGTACAGTGCAAGAGCCCTGTGCAGACACCAAGTTCGGTAAGAAGTATACTACAGTGGCTAATTAGTTTGCTATATAGCTGTGCTTTGGCCTGGATGATATAGCACCAAAAGAAATAGTTGTCTTTTGGGTTTTGTTTTTGATGAGGTTTAAACTAGTTCACGTTTTATCACTAGTCACAGGAATGTTTTTGGTTGGAGTCTTCAATTTTGTATTTAGATGTATATGGAATGGTCAAATTTGCCATCAGTCTCAAGGAATTACAGTGTAAGTTATTTACTTAATTATTTTAGTAAGATTTTCAGTGTAAGACATCTGATTTGGCATTAATGGAGTAACTATAAAATTTTTCGTAGACAGTTGCTCATTATGACATATAATTGTTGTTTAAACACTGTGCATTTGTACTTTATTTTGAATAGCACATTTCAAAGTTTTTGTAACAAGTATCCTTGTTACAAGGTGCCATGCCTTTTGGCATCTTGACTTTTGGTGAATGACTAAAGTTGACATGGCCTAGTTTATAAATGAAGATATAGATAAATAACATCCAGTAAGAGCTGAGGAGAAGAACGGTATCATTTGACCTGTTTATTTTGCTCACAGGGGCAGTTTTCTTCTAGCCCTATTCATGGTAGTGCGAAAAAGTACAGTTTGGGAAGTATTACCAATCCTTCACCTATTCCATCACCCACTTTCTCACCAGTCACATTTAAAATAGGAATGACACCACTCTCAGGTAGGTCTTGTAATAAAAATACCTAATTAAAAATTTTATATTGTCAATATTTGTTATTAAGGAGGCTCTTTTTACCTTTTTCTAATTGTAGAGCTCTACATATTTAGAAAATTTTTTTTTAACAAAAGAAATATTTACCTTCAAAGATAGGGATTCTCAGCAAAGTAGCAGTCTTTATCTTAAAAATTCTTATGAAGGAAGTTACAGAAAGATGTGAAAATTAGAGATACGTTGATTTTTATATGCCTTGTGACATGTAGGTTTAGACTTTGGTAATTGGCTATTTGTAAAGATATATTTATTTGAGTAAGGTTTTTGTGGTAAATATACTATATGGAATTTACATATTTCTCTTTGCAATATGTCAGTTTTTCTTTGAAAAAAATTAAAGCACATTTTGAAAAATATTCACAATAACAAATCTATAGTAAATAAGATGCAAACTTGCAAATTGCATTTTTGTTATTATTATCTTTATATATGTATATGTGTATCTCATTCTCCACACAGACGTGCACATACATATGTATTTACATCTACACACTTCTATATTCTGCTTTTTTTACAAAACATTTTCTTATGAGTATGTTCATAGGTCAGATTATTTACTGTCTGAAACCATAATTTTCAATCCCTATATAATACGTATCATTATACATATTATATACCATATATATGAATGTAACATTTATATTTGTTTTCAACTATTGATGGACATTTAAGCTGATACTAATTTTTTATCCCTCAAATAATGATTATCTTTGTATATACACTGTTCTTGTAAATATTTATGTCCTTAGGTTAAATTCTCAGAAGTAGAATTACTTGGTGAAAGCTTTTAAGACTTTTAATGAACTTTGTTAGATTTTCTTCATAAAAAGTTACACTGATTGAAATTTTCACAGGTTGTATATGAGAATATCAGTTTCTCCCCATCCAGAAACACTGGTATTACCATTCGTTTTGGTGCTTGTTAGGTTTTGTTACAAGTTCTCGTACTGCTTTAGTTTTTGTATCTCTCATTATTATAATGATGAGCTCTTTCCAAATGTTTGTTGGTTATCTGTTTCTCAGGAGAAGGGGAGATCTCTAGTTTTAATATCCTTATTTTTTGTTACTTCTGTGACATGAACACTTTTTATTTACCATTGGGAGGATTGTTTCTGTGCTTTTGCCTATTTTTTAAAACTTTGTTTTCATTAAACTAATGAAGTTATAAAATCTATTAAGTTTTAAAGTATTTTTATCTTTTTGAATGCCATTCTTAAGCTCTTTATTATTGTAAACATTATTTTGCAGTTTTTTGTTTGCCTTATAGTATTTTGTATAAACACAGATTTTTACAGATTTTATTTATTTTTTATTTACAGATACAGCTGTTAAATTGTTACTGTCAGTATCTTTTTTGCATATAAACAGTATCATTACAGTAGTGATATACTTATGAGGAAATAATTTGCAATGAGTAAAAGGCTTTGTTGAATTTTATTATTTATGCATGCAAGAAGTGGGGTACAGGCCAGAGGTGTAGGGGGGTGAAAGGATTCACCAAGACAGAGTGGGGAACAGAACAGGTGGATTGACTGAAATACACTGCTGTGGGGAACAGCAGATGAGTCAGGAGAGGTCTGCCACGCCATGTGTGTAGCTCCCTGGCCGGGGATCAGACTCGTGCCGCAGTGGCTGTGGACAGCTTCATAGTGCTGCATCTTAACCCTTGTGCCAGCAGGGAGGCCCCATTTTGTTGAATTTTATTTTCTTTATTTATTTATTTTTAAAGATTTATTTATTCGGGGCCTCCCCTGTGGCGCAGCGGTTGAGCGCTGGGTTGTGAAGCTGCCCGTAGCCTCTGCAGCGCCAGTTCGATCCCAGGCCACCAGGCGAGGGTCCCACATGGCATGCAGACCTCTCTTGCCACCCGCTGCTTCCCTCAGCAGTGTACCTGGTCAGTCTGCCTGTTCTGCTCTCCGCTCTGGCTCTGGTGAATTCTCTTACCCTCCTGCGCTTCTGACTGTACCCAGTGCTTGCATAAATAAATAAATAAATAAATAAATAAATAAATAAATAAATAAATAAATAAATCGTTAGGGGAAAAAAGATTTATTTATTCATTTATACAAGAACCAGGGTATAGGCCAGATGCGCAGGAGGGTGAGAGGATTCACCAGATACACAGCGGGGAACAGAACAAGCAGACTGATGAAATACACTGCTGAGGGGAGCAGTGGGCAAAACAGGTGAGGTCCGCCACGCCATGTGGGACCCTCGCCGGCCGGCCAGTATCAAACAGGTGCTGCAGAGACTGCGGACAGCTCCACAGTGCAGCGCTTAACCGCCTGCACCACCAGGGGAAGCCCCCGTTTTGTTGAATTTTATTTAAAGATTTATTTATTTATGCATACAAGAGCTGGGGTACAGACCAGAGACACAGGGGGGTGAGAGGATTCTCCAGAGACAGAATGGGGAGCAGAACAGGCAGACTGACTGAAACACACTGCTGAGGGGAGCAGCGGGCAAGACAGGAGAGGTCTGCCTCACCATGTGGATTGCTCCCTAGCCGGCCGGGTATCGAACTCGTGCTGCAGAGGCTGCAATTTGCCTCATAGTGCTGTGCTTAACACCTTGCGCCACCAGGGAGGCCCCCATTTTGTTGAATTTTAAAAAGCAAGTGCTAGAGGAATTATTTCGGGAGCGCCTCATCCTACTTATGGAGGCACATTCATCTGTGCTGTTTTTCACACTAAAATGTTACTCCAGTAAAAAATATAGCTGTTACAGAAATCTAGTTTTTCTGGCATGAAGCATGATTACCATTTATATAGTAATAGCTTTTCCATTTTAATGTTTTTGTGATGTAATTTTTCCCTGCCAACCTTTTAGAACAAAGGAAGTTTACTCTGCACTCTCCTGATGGAACCCATTCTAATGGAATTACTAATCCATGTATCAGAAGTCCTTACATAGATGGCTGCTCGCCAATTAAAAATTGGTCTCCAATGAGACTTGAGATGTGTCGAGGTGGTGCTCAGTATAGGACCTCACTGATTCGAATACCTTTTACTCTCGAGACTCATAGTGAAGATGAAGAAGATAAAGCAACCATTCATTCCACCGATGCCTCATCACCAGCCCTGGGCCCTGCTGGGGTACACCTGCATCAGCTGCATGGTGACGCTTCTCCGCACAATGCACATTTGGTGGTGACTGCCATGTCTATTACAGAGAATCAATCCAGTGCTTCCGAGAAAGAATTTATACTGCTCCCAGATGTTGAAAGTGAGAAGGAGAATAATACTGTGGATATGGGTGACCTGATAGAGACAGCTGATGAAAACACTTGGATTAAGGAGCCAGTTGACAATGGTAGTTTACCTCTGACTGATTCCGTGAGTGGGATTGCCTTCAGTATTGAAAATTCTCATATGTGCATGTCACCTCTTGCAGAAAGCAGTGTCATTCCTTGTGAAAATAGCAACATCCAGGTAATTTATTTTTTACTTTATTTTTTTTTTTTTTAAGATTTATTTATTTATGCTCACAAGAGCTGGGGCACAGGCCAGAGATGCGGGAGGTGAGAGGATTCACCAGAGACAGAGTGGGGAACAGAACAGGCAGACTGACTGAAATACACTGCTGAGGGGAGCAGCAGGCAAGACAGGAGAGGTCTGCTGCGCCATGTGGGCAGCCCCCTAGCCAGCCGGGGATCTAAATGGTGCTGCAGAGGCTATGGATTGCCTCACAGTGAGGTGCCTAACCCCTTGCCACCAGGGAGGCCCCGGTAAGTTATTTTAATATTCTGTAGTTCTCTACTTGCTTCTTGGTGTTCTTTAATCTTTTTCCAAGATTATAGTAAAAGAGAAAATGAGGACTTCCCCTGGTAGCGCAGCGGTTGAGCGCTGGGTTGCGAGGCTGCCCGCAGCCTCTGAAGCGCCAGTTAGATCCCTGGCCACCGGCGAGGGTCCCACCAAAAAAAAAAAAAAAAAAGAGAGAAAACGAGTTAAATGTGAGGACTACAGCATTATGTAATTTCCTAAAAAATATCAATGTTAGGTGATCCCAAGAGAGTTATTTTCTTTTAATTTCAACTGTTGATGCATATTTAATATTCACAACAATATTTATTTGGAGGAGAAAAAGATAAGAGTGGGAAAAAAATCAAGCTGTTCTGTTTTTAGAACCTGCTAGCATCAGATTGCTTCTCAGGAATTCAATTTCTGGTATAGTATTTGTTTTCCAAATACAATAGTTTTTATTTTTCCTTGATACCATTTCAGAAGAAAAAACAGAATTTAGAGCACTTTTGTGTGTGTTACTTTTCTCCTTAAAAATGTGTTTAATCAACATTTTTCATGTAATTGTACAGTTCCAATTTTGCAGTATCACTGGAGCTGATAATTTTTTAAAAACTTAAACATAGACCTTCCCTGCCATTTCTGTGTGCCAGAAATTGTTCTGAATATTTTCCATATGTTTTCTCATTTAGTCTTCACAAAAATACTTTGAAATTTGTGTATTGTTACCCAATTTTAGATATGAGAAGATGAAGGTCAGAGGTTAAGTAAATTACCTAAAACTGACATAATCAGTAAGTAGTAGAGCTAAGATTTGAATCCTCGCAGTCTAACTTTAGAGTCTGTATTCTTTAATTTTAGTTAATGCTGACTTAGTAATAGCTAATACAGTGTTTCAGTGTGCCAGAAACTCTTCTAACGTATATACTACACATATATATTTAAATATATATAGTATATACGTTCATTTAATTCTCACAACCCTCCTTTAATGCTTTCGTGCTATCAGCTTTGGCATCCTGAAGTTTAAAATTCATGGAAGGATTCTAAATGACCCAAATTTAATCTTTTGCTCATGGTTTTATGACTTTGAGGTTAGTTGCTTAGAAAAGAAAAAAAAAAAACTACTAGAATCATTTACATATCCCAGCTTCTAAATGTGGTTCAAAGAAAAAGCACAGTTAATCTTAAAGGTGTTATCTTATTTCTTTCATTTTTTTCAAAGCATATATAAAACTATAGTCATGTGGGCCTCCCGTGGTGGCGCAGTGGTTGAGCGCTGGGCTGTGATGCTGCCCGCAGCCTCTGCAGCGCCGGTTCGATCCCTGGCCACCGGCGAGGGTCCCACAAGGCGCGCAGACCTCTCCTGCTGTGTCCGCTGCTCCCCTCAGCAGTGTATTTCGTAAGTCTACCTGTTCTGTTCCCTGCTCTGGCTCTGGTGAATTCTCTCACCCTCCCACGCTCCTGACTGTACCCAGTGCCCGCATAAATAAATAAATCTTAAAACAAACAAAAAAAAAACTATAGTCATCTAACGCAGTCAACTACTGTAAGCCTCTATCACTACTAAATTGTCATCCACTATATGCTTCAGTATCTTCAAGGGATTCCAATTCACTGTAACATTACAAGCCTCTCCCTTATATAGAGCTGAAGTAGAATTCTACCTGCGATATCTACCAGTTTCAATTTTACCTGTTGGGTCATATCAATAATGTCTGCCTTTTGCACAACATTTTGTAGTTAAAGATGTTTACATACATTCTTTTCTGCCTCTGAGGTAGCATCAAACACGTGAAGACAGTCGTATTTTCCCAGAGCCTTTTGACTTCCTTCGTTGTAGCCTGGGCTCCGTGTATGGTACACAATCGTCATCCTGGTTAGATTGATGCCTTTATCATCAATCTGGGGATCCCTTTCTCCTCTCCTGTGTTCCAGATTTTGTTTGATTTCTCCTTCCTGGTTTACTTCTCACTCTTTTGGAACACGTTTTCTGGTAACTTTGTGAGGAAGAGCGCACTTTCAAGATATTGTATATATCGGATCATATGCTCATTCTGCTCTCACATTTGACTTTGGAAATAATTGTCCTCCAGGCAAGATCCATATGATAGAAAATGAAACATGATTTTGTCATCTTTTTTAGCACATCATCCTTCTCAGCCATAAAATGTTGCTGATCCTATGGAGATGATCTGTATTGTCTGGCTGGTACCTGGAAGCACTGTGTTGGCCTCAGTGAGAGCACTGGGTCAGCCACTATCTTTTGGGAGTCTCATTGATGCTTCTCTGTGTTACAGAGTGGAACAAAGTGCTGGATGCCTTATTACCCCCCTGTTGATATATTCAGTTATGTACTGAGTTATATAAATCCATTATTTGGTACTGGTGAATAATAAGAGTAATCATCATATTTTCTGGGAACAACCTGATAATTTTGGTTTTGATCAAGTAGCTGTTGAATGAAAGCAAAACGTTTCCCCCTGAGATTATGTTGTTTTACACAAGTGATTTATACGAAAAAATATCCATGTTACTGAGAAACAGAAATATTCCAAATAAGTAATGCACTTTCTAGGTACTCTCTTCATGATGGGCATAAAAGTACAGCCTTTTCCTTCCCTTTGATCCTAATATGAAGAAAATGCCTTGAGTATATCCCGGTGGCTTGTCGTGTTCAGTGCTCTGCCCTTAAGGCAGGGAAAGGCAATGTAAGTGAACAGGGACTTTGAAGTCTCAGTTCATCACCTCATTCTTTGTGGCACTGTGAACACTACCCTTTCCAAGCTTTGGCTTTGTCTGTGAATAGGGTTGTAAGGAGCAACTAAGAACGATATATATTTACCAGTATGTACCAAAATTGAAGTGTGCTAGAATTTCATCTTTCTCTTTTGCTCCTTGGAGCTGGATCAGTGTGTCCTATACTGCTAAAATTTTAATTAAAGTGAAAAATTAACATCTAGAGCTATTATGTATGTGGTAGCAAAGATTTTTATTTTAACAATTGGGTGTATAACACCTTTTAAAAATGTATATTTTGAATACTCATGCATGCCATTTAGGTAAAATTTAATTAGATATGGGCCTCTCTGGTGGTGCAAGGGGTTAAGGCGCAACTTATGAAGCTATTCGCAGCCACTGCAGCACAAGTTCAATCCCCGGCCAGGAAGCTACCCACATGGCGCAGCAGACCTCTCCTGTCTTGCCCGCTGCTCCCTTAGCAGTGTATTTCAATCTGCCTGTTCTGTTCCCCACTCTGTCTCTGGTGAATCCTCTCACCCCCCATACCTCTGGCCCGTACCCCAATTCTTGTATGCATAAATAAATGAATCTTTAAAAAATTTTTTAAAATTACATATGCAAACCAGTCTTTCAGAGAGACAAGTTTGGTTAATGTAATAGGGAGGTAAAGTTTTTTGTAATCCTTTTACCAGCTGAGTGTGATCAGCAACAGGACAGCACGTTTTCAGTGCCTTCTAAAGGAATTGGCTGATTCTAAAGGAATTAGAAAGTGAATATTTTGCAGAACAACCAGTTCTATGAAGAACTACCTTTTATCGTCATATATCTTAAGTTACATTCACTATAACCCATATTGAAGTTGCACTGTAGTGATTTAAATTTAAAAATTTTATACTTCATTTTATATACAAACATTACATAAATCATGTCTATATAAGCGTATTTTCTATAAATATTTTCAAGTAAATCTGGTCAAAAAGTGAATTATAGTTGATGGTATTATCCTGAGTATGTTTTTTTTTTTTTTTTCATCCCTGTCAGATGGATAGTGGCTATAATACACAGAATTGTGGGAGTAACGTTATGGATATGGTTGGAGCAGAAAGTTACTGTAAGGAAAATGATGTACAAGCCTTGGAAGTCGAGAATAAATCTCAAGTTTTTAATACAAAGGTATGGAATCATAAGAGACTCTGATGTAGTTATAGGTTGTATTACTAATTGTAATTACTCTAGACTAGTTTTTTTTTTTCCAGTTTTCTTAAAATTTGGTTATGCCTCATTCTTTCTTCAGGATACTATTTAACAGCAGAAGCTGGTTTTTAAATCAAAGCACTTCATTTCCTAACTCTTTTGCTATGAGAGCTTAAGAGATTAGAGAGGTGCTTGAAAACATTTCCTTAAAGGGGAGTAAGTAGGAGGGTGAGATGTTTTTGTCTCTAATATTTTCTCGGAGCTAAAAAGAGGGGAAATGGTACAGTTGAGACTACTTATCAAATTAAGAATATAAAAGGCTGCTTTCTTAAAAAATAGCTTTTATAGCATTTTAATGTTCCCAATCAGCACATATGTTTACATAGTACTTCTACGTGGTATACTGCTGAGTAGGACATCTGCCACACCTTGTAGACAGGATGGTTGTAACTACATATTCATAATTGAAGAAATGCATTATAATTTTAGACACTGATCAGGAGGGTCCTTATTTGAATATGCAAATTTATTAATCAATACTGTACCAGCAAGTATGCAACTAAACCCTGCAGATACATGTGCCGCCATCTTGTTTTCCCTTTCCTCCATTTCGTCATGAGATGAGATTATAGTCAGCCACTTAAAAGTAAGCAGTTAACACACAGGAAGTATTCTTTTTGATATAAGTTATTGATTTGTAAATATATTTTTACTTTCCTTCTAGGGGAATGTTTAAGGCAATCTTTAGGTTTTTTAAAAAGTTTACTTCCTTGAAAACTTGTATCACTGAATGGTCCTATTTAAACTGAAAAGTATTTTCTTCTTTTTCTTTCATAGCAAGATCACACAACACAAAGGTTTTGGATGAAAACAGCAAATCTTCCTTAGCACAGCAGTCCATAGAATACCTCTTTCAGAACCAAAGACTATTGGTCAGTAGCTCCTCGCATATTTTTCAAGCACAGGATTGGTAATGTGATTGTGATTGGGGAAAAATGGCTTCAACTAACATGCTTAGCATTTCTTCCCTCCTTAATGTGAAAAATCAAGGGCTAATCTCGTGACATAGGAATAACAGAAAAGCTCCTGGAACTTTCAACAAGTTGCTCAAGTTTATTTTTTAATCAATAAATATTTTTGTACTTACCTTGAGTGATGTGTTTAAGAAACGGTGAGCAAAGTAGCTTCTATAAGGTCAACAACCTGCTTATTAGTAAGCCCTACTGCCAGCACCGAATTTAACAATATTTTTGAGAAAGTTTTATTTTACATAAAAATTTATGACTATGAAATGAATTTAAATTATAACTTATGTGTAAGAAATGTGATTTGTGATTTAGATGTAAAATTTAATTGAAGGGGTGATTCTTATTAGTACATATGATAATTAGCATTTTCAAAAACTCGTTCTTGAATATGTCTTCATTTCTCTGCAGAAGTTCTTAGTTACAGTGATAACTGCTCTAGTTACTGCTTTGAAAACTATAAATACTAGGAAGGCAGTACTAACAACATTGTATCACATATTGTCACTCTAGTATCACATGTTGTTATTATGAGGCAAAAGTGGGATGCCCAGAATATAGCTGAATCACATTGTTTCCAGCTCCGATTTTGCTTGGGAAGAGACCAGAGAAGGAACCAGGATAAATAGTGAGGACTAAATGACAGAGGAGTTTTTAGAGGGCTCTGGACTTAGAAGTAAGGGTTGGGCATACTGTAATTTTTTAAGTTTATAATCATGTTGGGATTAGAATGGGTCTATTATCTTTGGAATATGTATATTCTTATTTATAAATTGCCTTTTGAAAACTGTCTTACGCAAAAGAGCAGTAATTCAATATATCCCAGGAAATAAAGACATTATCATGGTGTCATTTTCTTCCTTACTTTTTTGCACCCTATACTTTTTTGCACTGCTAACTGGCAAGGCATGTTTCTTCCTGTGCACCTGACTAATTATTTCTCCCAACACACTAACCTTTAAAGCCAGTAGCCACTAGGTCCACTGCTATAGACAATACATTAGCAGTTGAGTTCCTACTCACATGTTTTGTACTCAATAAAGATAATAGCCATGCATTAAGAGTTCTAGATCCCAAGGGCAGGAAGCTTCCTGACTATATTTGTATTAGTGCAGGTCAAGAAACAAAGTAGTGATTATAAGTCAGATTCCTCCTATCACCTACTGGCCCATAAGCCTGTCGATCTTCTCTTGTTAATATGGTGATACTAGTTCTACCAAACAGAAGCTTTTTAAGTGAAATATTCCATGTAAGCTGCTTAGCATTAAGAACTGGCTCTCAGAAACATTTTAGATTACCAAGGCCTTAGTGTGAAATTAACAATGCTTTTGGTCATTTGAAGTACTCAATAGTGCCTATTAATACTTAATAGTGCCTATTAAGTTTACTCATAAATGAGGCACAAAAAAAAACACCTTGGATAGACTTACACAGTCAATCATAGCGTGTGTTACTAAGAGGCCTTTTCTTTTTCCTCTACCACAGATAAACTAGAATTTTTAGGCTGGGGGGTGGGCGGCAGGTCATGGAAATCACATATGTAATATTTTATGACATATGAAAATAAGAAATTTAAATTCCCATGTTCATCAGTAAGGTTTCTTTCAAACACAGCAGTGTTTGCTTATACATTCAGTCTATTGCCGCTTTTACACCTTAGGAGTCGTCTAGTACTACAGTTTTGCAACAAAGACTGTAAGGCACATAGAGCCTAAAATGTTTGGCCCTTTATCGAAAGTCTTGCTGACTTCTGAGGTGCATTACGCCATGACCTGGACCCAAGATGACTCAAGCTTAGTTTCCTTCAACTGACAGTTTTGCCTCAGTATATGGATGTTTCATACAGGTAAAGTAAACATTCAACAACAAAGTGTCTAAATGGTTGCATACATTGTAATTATCCCCACCTGGTATACCTGTTCATGTATTTGCCAGTCTTGTTTCACACTGTGCCTCAAGCTACTTTGAAGGAAGAGGTCATTTACTTGACTGGTGATGTGCATGGTATAATGTGGATACTTTAGAAATAAAAGTAAAGGGGCCTCCCCTGGTGGCGCAGTGGTTGAGCGCTGGGCAGCGAAGCTCCCGCATTCTCTGCAGCGCCGGTATGATCCCCGGCCGCTGGCGAGGGTCCCACATGGTACTACAGACCTCTCCTGCTGCCTGCTGCTCCCCTCAGCAGTGTATTTCGTCAGTCTGCCTGTTCTGTTCCTCGCTCTGGCTCTGGTGAATTCTCTCACCCTCCCGCGTTTCTGACTGTACCCAGTGCTTGTATAAATAAATAAATAAATCTTTAAAAAAAAAAAAAGAAATAAAAGTAAAATGCTTTATGTTAACAATCTCAAAATTTTGAAAACACAAATTTAATCACTACTGATCTTTGTGGTTAGCCAGGGAAGTAGTCACTGGCTCAACAAATAATACTTAAATCTATTCCCTTTAATATGTCCACATACAGTCCTCCATTTTCAATATAACCTGATTCATATGCAGTTTAAAAGCCATTAATTACACATTTTGGGCCTCCCTGGTGGTCCAGCGGTTGAGTGCTGGGTTGCAAAGCTGCCTGCAGCCTCTGCAGCGCTGGTTTGATCCCCAGTCACCGGGCGAGAGTCCCACATGGTGCGCAGACCTCTCCTGCTGCCCACTGCTCCCCTCAGCAGTGTACTTCGTCACTCTGCCTCTTCTACTCTCTGCTCTGGCTCTGTTGAATTCTCTCACCCTCCCGTGCCTCTGACTGTACCCAGTGTTTATATAAATAAATAAATCTTTAAAACAAAAATTACACATTTTATTTCACAAGTAACAGATATTTAAAGTGCGAGCTCTCAAGTCTCAGTGCCTTACTTGTCAGAGATGAGAGCTGAAGTTCAAGGATAATAATCTCATTTATTACCTGGTTTTAAGAAAAAACTTTTCCAATCAGATTAAATATCCTGCTTGTCTTACTACAACATTCAATTCACAAACATGGACAGCTTTTCACGGACAACTAAAATGTAGACGGCTTTTTTAGCAGGAAACACTTAATGTAAGTTAGTAAATTAAAGATGGCAAAGGAGATTAAATGCTAAATTCCTCAACAGATCTTGACTTCATTGTCTAAAAACTGCCATACCAAACACTGACAGCTTTCAAGATTTAGAGAGAATAGATTGTTCCTAGTTTCTAAAAATATTCTATTTTCCTCCATAAGAAAATGAGCTTTTGTTCCATCAATATTAAATAATCAAATTACTTATGTAAAATTAATCTGCTCTTCAATGAGCAGATGAATGCCCCATTTAAATGATCTTTCCAGATCCCTGAAGTTGCTAACTTGTCAGTATTTAAAAGTGATATTCAATTGAATTTTTCTGCATAAATAATTCTGTTCAATCCAGAAATGTAGTTATGATGGGACACAGTCAACAGTTCAATAAAAATGCAAATTTTTAAAATTATTAAAATGTACTTAAAAGTAACACTATCAGACATTTCTTAGATATAAAGTGATTTCAAGTTTTTTTTTTTTAGAAAACCAATCTTTGAAGTTTTTTTTTCTTTCACTAAAGCTATTTTTAAAACTTCTTCTTCTTTCTGTCTGGTTCATTAATGTCCGTGCTTGAAGTATCACTGGGCATGTTTATTCCTGGTATCTAAAGTAATAAGGGAAAATAAGGTAAGAAAGAGTGCAAAATAAGGAATAAGTCTCATTCTTGCCCCATTAACATTTTCAAATGAGAGAGGGAGAAGGGGGTCTTAATAATGGTTTTCCACACAAAGCATATATATTTACTATACAGAGTAATAGTTCAGAATCAGTAGATGTGATCACTGAATAGATGGGAAGCCTGTCATTTGGGAAGTGTGTTTTCAGCTATAACATATCCAATCTATCCTCTTTGTACTCCAGTGATTGTTAACAAATGAGAGGACTCAGGCTGGGTCAGAGCAAGGGTTAAGAACCAATGTCTTAGGTGAAGTATATATTTCAAAACTGACAAAGTGAAAAAGGACTAGTGAGGAGGACCTGAAAGAGGTCTGCTTTTGGTACCAAGGTACTCAAGGATTACAACTATTGAGGATGCCATGGCCTAGCGAAATCAGTGAGAAAACAGGATTTGCGATGCAAATATTTGGTGAACATACTACAGGACTTCTCAAATACTAAAAATAACAGGACTCTATCCTTCTCTTCCACAAAATATACTATTGATTCCATCACAATATGGATAGTATAAGTTTGGGCTTACCTGTGGTTCCACCAGAGACATTCGGATTTTCTGATGCTGAAGATTAGATGAATCTAACATGATTTTCACTTTAACTTTATCAAATATATGGAACGCTGTATCTTCAATTTTAAGTGTAGGTACCTAAACAAAACATTTTAATGTTTTTAATTGCTTCCTTATATTTGAGGCTTTGTTCTGATTCTTTATAGTTTATCTTTCATATTAATTTTAAAGTTTAATGTCTAAAAGCATCAATATAATCAAAACCACTAATCTAGCAGCCTCACACAAATGTGGTCTATGTGCATACCTCCTCCTTTTATTAAGGTAGCTCCAATATTATTCCATATATATATATATATATATATATATATATATATATATATATAGTTGGTTTATTATTCCATATATATAGTGTTGGTTTAATAGAAAAGCACAAAGGTATTACAGGTAGAGTTTATTTTTTTAAACTTCCACTGTAAGGGTAGGGAAGCAAGGAGTGTGTCAGATAAAAGACAATGGAATTAACAATTCCCCTCCCTGAGCTATAAGCAGCCATCTACTCTTTTGACTTTAAATAACCTACAGTAAAGGATTAGTTCAAGTTTTCCTTATAGAAGGAGACTTTACATGATATAAAACAAAGAAATCAAGGACAACTTTTGCATATGGGAAGATATACTAAGATAGTAAATTGTGAATAGAACAATAAGTTTAGTTGGTTTAATTATGCAGATACAAAAAATAACTTTTTTCCTTTTATAAGCACCATTTGTAACCTGTGAAAAAGTAATTGCCCCTATAAAAAAATTAAAGCATTTGAAACTGCAACTATGCAAACAACAGTGGAATACAATTTTATGTCAATTAAGAAAACAAAAAAAGGGCCTCCCTGGTGGCGCAGCAGTTGAGCGCTGGGTTGCGAAGCTGCCCGCAGCCTCTGCAGTGCCGGTTCGATCCCTGGCTGCTCCCCGGCCACCGGAGGAGGGTCCCACATGGCGCGCAGACCTCTCCTGCCGCCCGCTGCTCCCCTCAGCAGTGTACTTCGGTCCTTCTGCCTGCTCTGCTCCCCGCTCTGGCTCTGGTGAATTCTCTCACCCTCCCGTGCTTCTGACTGTACCCAGTGCTTGTATGTATGTATGTATCAATCAATCAATCAATAAATCTTTAAAAAAAAAAAGAAAGAAAGAAAACAAAAATATACTTTACCTCATCATCATAAGTAAGTCGTGGTTTTGGTTTATCCTTTTCTTCAAAAAATACCGTACCTTCCAAACCATACTTTGGAATTAACACCACAATAGCATTCTTTCTTACAAATAGAATATAGGCTTCTTCACTTACTATTCCTTTGCTTTTGAAAAATAACTGTAAAATAACATACAACCTTATTAAAAATTGCCTTAAATCATTTTGAAATTAACAGCAACAATATCTTGAAACTAAAAATGGGAACAAAACCTCATCTCTCCCATTGATAGATGACAAATACCTGAGTATGAAATGCCACTGATGCGCGCTGGGCATATTGAGCCATTTTGTGTCGGAAATTGAGATTTTTACATAAATCTGCAAGCTTGTGTTTATCTGTTAACTCTGGATAAGTACAGTCAGCTCCAATAGCCACAGCCAACAACCGATGAACAATGATGTCTGCGTATCTAGACATATTGAGAAATAAAAAATTATATTAGCATTGAAATGTCTTTTTTTAAAATTCAAAATTAATGTTTTTACCTCATTTAATTTCAAAGAAAAAAGCACCTTCTGATGGGTGAAGTAAAATGTGTGTATATTGGTGATGCTAAGCCATAATGATGAAAATCATTATCCATTCCAGAGCAGAAGTACACAGCTTGCATCATACAGCGAGTGGCTAATATTCTTAACAGAGTGTTTAGATACGGGAACGTAGGAGAATCAGCCCGGTCCAATGAGTCAGCCAGAGACTTGGCTGTATCAGTTTTAATTTCTAAATTCTGTGAATAAAGAGGAAGGAAGGAGCACCATATTAAACATTTTAAAATCAGTACCATCATGTATTCAAAATGTAATGAATCAGATTGAACAAATACAGTGTATGTGACTAGATAATAATGGTTTTACGCCTTTTTCCTTCACCTAGCAGAACTGAAAACAAATCTATAAAAAGGAATGCTTGCTTCATGCAACATCAAAGCTAAAAATTTTCTGAATACATCTAAAGGTACTGAAGTACATTTTGAAAAAGTTTCAAAGTAGAAAGTGAAAGTGGTAGCAGTAGTAATACTAATCCAAATTGAGAAACTAGTGCCATCCTAATAGAATACAATTATGCCTACAGTGATGTTTTGGTGAATAATAGACTGCATATAAGATGACAGCCATAATAGGCTATATCATATATGCCAAATACGGTATGTAGTGGGATATACCTTCTAGGTTTGTGTAATTACACTCTATGACATTCACACAGTGACCGAATTGCTTAAAGACGCATTTGTCAGAATGTATCCTCATCATTAAGTGACATGTGACTAAAATGTCCTGAGATCCAAAACTCCTCCTTCCAGTTGTCTTCTGAACAGGAACGGTGGGGTCTGAACAGTTGATCCAAGGAAAAGCAACCTAAGCCACTGTCACCCCATTGGTAATTATGCCTAAATGAAAGTCTACTAACCAGAAGCAGGGGGTATTGTGGGGCTGAAGAACTTGTACCCTTCCTATACTATAGTCTTTTCCCCATGTATACAACAAATAGAATCTTAGGATTTAACTAATTTGAAAGTGAAGAGAAAAAAATTGTGTAACTGGGCAGTTCACACAGGCTCACTGAAGTCACACAGGCAGTAAGAACACAAGTAAAGGCATGTGGACGAACTCAATATGCTAAGGATAGTGCAAATAGCTTAGTCTGAAACACGTGATTTTAGCCTAGAGTGCTCTTTAAAGACATTTGAGAATTTTAGTAAGCAGATGACCTGTATGTGGGAAGAGATGCTACACCTAAGTTAGATTATTTTTTTTTAATCAGAAGAACTACTGGCATATTTTTGCATCGAGGAACAAAAACACTCTCATGGAGAAGTGAATATAGATTATTAAGTGCAAAGGGTAGGTCATTAAACAAATACAAATGTTTTTCCAAACTATAGGACTTTACCTTGGATTTAGCTGCTTTAACAAGAATTTCATAATTTGATGGAGGAGGAGCAGGATGTTTTCGAAGCAAAGCATGTTCAGAAAATTCTTCATGAATTCTTTTTGCAACAGAGATATTAGCAAGTAACATAAATTCTTCCACCATGGAATTTGTTTCTCTGCCAGTGGAAAAATGATTATATAAGAAAAGAGAATCTCAGATTTATGTGTCATATTTATTCAGAGGTTACCTTTCCTACCTATAAAGATAATGGAAATATTTCCTATGTAAACATTCATGTGTATGCACACTTATTTTTAATAACTTGTGCTTCTTTCATTTCTGTTACTATGCTAACAACCTTTTATTATGCATCTACTACATGAGTAAATCTCATGCTAGAACAGACTTTACAAATTACACTCAAGAAAAACTGTTTTACTAACATTAGTAATATAAATCTGAAACACTGCATTTTTTAACTTCCTTTTAACGTGTCCAGAGATTTTTATGTAACTGTAAATTTACTAAATAAATTAACTATAAATTTTACCTATAAATTTATTGTAACTATAAATTTACTAAATATAAACTTAATAAATGAAGTTTACTAAGAATTAAAAACTAGGTAGTACAAATTTTGGTTAAAAAAGTAAAACTTTCACCAATGAATCACTAAAATGAAGAGATCATATCAGTATTTACTACTTGGGTGCATATTATGAGTCGTGCATCTTGCCATATATGGTAGCACTGTTTTGCAGTTGAAAAGTGGAGGATATAAATTATTCTCTTCATCAAGGTCAGAGTTATCACTAGTAACAAGAAGTGAGTCCACATAATCTGATTTCAAAATTCTTAACCTGATATTGCCATTCATTCTATTCAGTTAATTTGTGTTCTCTTTTTCCCAAACATTGTGTTCTCTTTTTCCAAACTAAACATTCATTATAAATTTTTCAGTCAAGTTTACATTTTTAATAACATCTTATTACAGGAAGACTTCCAATCATCCTTTAGAAGTATGGGGATCATCTCTTAGAAATGTGATTTTTCTTCTTATTACGAAGAAATAGATGATGCTGTACACTGCAAAATGAGATTCAACATTTTTCTCTAAAAAGCTTCTAGTGTTTGGTTTCTTTCTTGTACTAACATCATGCTTATCTGCACAAAAGTTTCCCTTAAAGTGTATTTAAATATAGCAATAAAGCTATAAATTACACACTGGATCCCTAAAAACAAACCTGAGCATACTCATTTTTACTTTTATTTTTTTTTAAGGTTTTATTTATTTATTTTTGCATAGAACTGGGATGTAGGCCAAAGGTATGGGTGGCAAGCGGATTCATCAGAGACAAGAGTGGGGAGCAAAGCGGCCAGATTTACTGAAATACACTACTAAGAGGAGGAATGGTCTGCTGTGCATCATATGTGGGTTAGTTCCCTGGCAGGAGATGAAACTTAGGCCCTAGTGGTGATAACACTAAGACATAACCCCTAGGCCACCAGGATTTTTAATCCTTAATCAACTAGAGAAGTGCAAATGCACATTTAATTTCAGAATTACCTTATTTAAGAGGCCTGGAAAAGAAGCCTAATTCTAAGAAAAAAATCCTTGCTTCCTAATACTTTTTAATAAATTTTTTTTAAAGATTTATTTATTTATACAAGAACCGGGGTTCAGGCCAGATGCGCAAGAGGGTGAGAGGATTCACCAGAGATAGAGTGGGGAACAGAACAGACTGACTGACTGAAATACACTGCTGAGGGGAGCAGCGGGTGAGAAAAGAGAGGTCTGCCATGCCATGTGGGATTTTCGCTGGCCAGCCGGGATTGAACCCATGCTGCAGAGGCTGCTGACAGCTTCAAAGCACTGTGCTCAACTGCCTGTGCCACCAGGGGAAGCCCTGCTTCCTCTTTTTTTTTTTTTTTTTTTGTGAGACCCTCACCAGCGGCCAGTTCTGGCACTTCAGAGGCTGCGGGCAGCCTCGCAGCCCAGCGCTCAACCACTGTGCCACCAGGGGAGGCCCTGCTTCCTAATTCTTAACCAAATCAATAAATAGTAACAACAAAAGCTAACAAGTCAGTACTCTTCACAATACTCTATGACGTGGGTACCTCTGTCAATCCTTATACACAAATTGAGGTCCAGAGAGGTTAAAGTTACTATCCTGAGTTACTGGCAGAAGTTGGATCCAAACCTAGACAATCTAGCTTCAAAGTCCCTGACCTTGACCACTATACTATCCTACCACAGGATACTCTATATTAAATATTTTAGAATTCAATCAGAGTAATTTTCTTTTACTTACCATGACTCTTACTAGTCAAATTCTAATACACCACACATCAAAACAAACCAATTTAAAGCTTTCAATTATATTAATCTCATTTTTACATAATACTAAAAAGTGAAATATTTATGTATTTCATTTCATGAATCAAAAAAATTTATAGAAATCCTAACCCGATTCCTGTACAAATATGATTTACTAAGGAAGTAGTCATTACATTTAAAATCAAAATCATACCTACTACCCATCAAAAAAATCGCATACCTAAGCTCCTTGGTCTGCAGATCTATAGGATCATGAGTTTCACTGTCTATGTGGAATCGAACTTCTGGAGAAGAAAGAGTTAAAGCCCTAAATAAAAATCAAAGAGGTGAATTATACCAATGAGCCAACATTAGACATAATTTTGGAACTGATCCATTTAAAATAGAACATGATTATAGCAGGTACATGCTAGTTATTCTCCTGATGTTTTATGGATAACAACATCTCACAAAGATAGTAGTCTTTGTGCTTCTGAGGGTTTGAATCTCTTCAGTGCCCAAACTACGAGTTCTTACTGAGCTATATGAATTTGTAATCACTTTTACAAATAAAGACGATGACTGAAAATATTTCATTTACTATGGCAAAAAATGTATTGAGCTGAGGAATGAGGAGAGGTAAAGATAAGTTGCCATGGATGGCTGAGTGGCATCTGATGCACAGTTCAAAAGTATCTTCCATATAGATTCAACCAATGGAGAGGAGACTGATCAACTACTAATAATACTTACAGATACTGATGGCTATTAATATTTGAGAGCTATGTTGTCAGATAACATACTATGGTTAGTGTTTTACATGCATGGTTAATTTATGAATTGGCAAGCTTTCCCTTTAAAAGTAAATTTCCTCAAGGCAAGGAAGGTTTATGGTTTTTTCACATATTGATGTTACCTTCATCCGGTTAGCACCAAATTAACCTAAAACTAAGAATTTTAACTTTGAGTACTTTGGGCAATCATGGAGAACGAAAAATGAGATGAGATGAGGCAAGTCAAATGAGATTCCAAGTCCTTTTCTTCCCTAACTCCTCACATTTATTAGAAGAGCTACAGAAAGAATACTAGAGAGGGAATCTCAACAAATATTTCTTCCTTACCAAGTAGTATGTACAATAAGGCTTTACATCTTGATTGAAAAGACAACATATACTAATCATAAAATGTTCATCATAAAACACCTAAAATGTTGTTTATCCCTGACATACTATTTATCTTTAACACAGACATAATTCAAGACATAACATCTCCTGTTAAGAAGACAGAAAGATGTTATTTTTGTTCTTACTATTTTCTCAGTTCTACCTAACACTGAGATTCAAAGATGTGTTTTACCAGCAAGACTGTCTACTTAAAAATTGAACACTGTTTTTGATGTTAAAAATAGCTTTGATAAGCTAATTGAGAAATTATGCTACAAATGCAAATTTACATGTCTTAATTTAAAACAACCAAAGTGAATATGGTTTCAAATTAGATTTTATTCACTTTGCTTTTAAAATAAACTTTCTAAAAATTATCTTTAAACAAATGTTCTTCTGATATTGGACATACTGTAAATCTTCAAACCTTCACACCTTCGTAGAATTTCTTTAACATTTTAACCCAAACATATCCAATTTTAGCACAACAAATTACAAGCACAGAATTCCTTAACAAACAGTAGTCCAGAACAGTTGCTGACATTACATGGTAGCTAGAAGAAATGGAATGTCTCTATTTAAGAGTCTTTACTGATCCTATTAAGAAATTCATCACTGTCCATGATTAAACACTTAAAGAGTTACAAGTTATCTTAATACCAGAACATACGAATTAAGACACAACTTAATACATATTTATAAAATATACCCTTTTTCAATTCTTCTCTTTTTCAAAATTTTTGCTAGTTTATTTAGTCCTCGGAGACTAATGGTTATATCATCATTCATGGTTGCTGAGTCAATTCTCATCTGAGCTTCAGCATATGTTAGGGAAGCCTTAGAAAGGAAACATATTAATATTACTCTTACAAATTATAAAACCTGGTTTCCTATCTTCTCAAATTTCTACTACATTAAATCCCTGACTTCAAAAAACCTAAAATCAATAACAAAATAGATATTCCTCGCCATAAATCTTATACTTCACAACTATGATTTCTAGTTTATTAACTCTGATATATTACATAAGCAAACTTACGTTAAAGGAAAATGGTAGTATTGTCAGTAGTTTAATTACTTTCATATTTCAGTTAACGCAGAAAGGCAATGCAAAAATAAAATGAAAAGGAAAATTAGATTATTCTCTAATAATGACTGTAAAGTGAAGTCCTTTCCAGATGACTATTACTCTCCTACTCACTGACTATTACTCGCCTACTTACTGGCAAAAAAGTATGGAAATTATAATAGCACAGACATCATGTTTGCAGGAATTCTACCCAATACCCAAAATTAAGTATTTAAAAGTGGAATAAATTCAGCGTAAAAAAATTTAATTTCCAATTACAATCCAAATATATCAACAGCTGTTTCTAATCCTATTTCATTCCTCACAGACTACCAATTTTTAGCTTAATTAAAAAAAAAAGGTAGCATCACAAGTTAAAATCAGGAATAGCATGAAGTAGTTAGAGATGCAGCCAGGTCAAATTCTTCTCAGAGCCAACTTATCCACTAGGGTCTAAGAGAGAGCCTTCTAAAAATGTTTTTTGTTATGTTTTCACAAAATCTTTTTTTAATATAATTTTATTATACTAGTCAAGTCTGGGAGAATTATAAACTCATCCTTATTTAAAAATACAATCTAGGAAGGCTTAAATTGCACATTACAATTTGTTGGTCTGCTTCTTTTTCCAACCGCTGCTTAATCGAAGTGAAAGAATGATGTTAAAGTAAGAAAATACATAGATAAAATTTAGAAAATGCTCATTAGACAAAAGGGAGTTTGACAAATCTCATCAGGCCAAAATGAGAATACAAGAATTTGGGCAGAAAGTACCAAAAAAGAAAAGGAAGAAAGAAAGATTGTCTGAACACAGTCTCAGGCTAGTTATATTAGAATTTAACTATGATTTATAACAGTATGAAAAAACATGAATAAATGGATGATGTATATGCCAACTTTAAAAATACAAGTAGGATAATATGAAATACTGGGGTTTTTGAAATACAAAGTTATCTACGCAGTCTTCTCAAGTATATAGACTATGTAAATATTTGAATATAGGATAAGTACCAAATAAACTCATTTCTAAACAGCATCAAGAATTGGGCAGGTTAAAAAAAACATTTTGTTGCAATACTAGGGGAAAATTTATTAATAATGTCTTTTTTCAAAACAATCTAAAATACTGTTGAAAGTATCAAAGATTTTAAAAATTAAACATTAACTATGAAACTAACCTTTGAGTTAATGACACTTTTGGTAAACCTGGTTTTTAATATTTCAGCATTTTGATTCATTTCCCAAATACATGAAAATGCCAACCTGTAGAGGAAAATACAGTATTTGTTAATGGAATCAGTTAAAGTAGGAAATAATACATTCTAACAAAATATGTGCATAAATACCTGTCAACATTACATCTTAAGGAACATAAGTTAGAACTAAGCAACTCTGGAACCATGTCAATCCTCTGAAACAGATAAAAATTGTTTATTACTTAGCTATATCCATAACATTTTACATTCATCAGAGACAGAGCAAATAATTTAGCAGGAAAAAAAAATGTTTTTTGGTCTTTGTGAATAGAACTGAGAAAATGTGAAATAAAAAATCTATTTCTAGAAAAGTACACAGAAATGTTACAAAAGGGAAACAATAAAGAAAACTGAACTGCATGCAAACTATATGGTATTTTAAAAATACTTAAAAGACACTATTTTTTTGGGGGGGGAAAGCTACACAGAAGAACACTGACACTGAATTCATAACAGATTAAGCTTAAATTTTTCCATTCACAATTTTTCTCTGTAAATTTACAGGACCACATTAAAAAAAAAAAAATTGGTAAACTGTGGCAGAACAGGCACATCACTTAACTTTATAAAGAACAAAAGAGTACATTTAATCATATATAGTTAAGTGCTGCACAACAATTTGTCAACAACACCTACTTTTTTAATTGGCTAGTCAAAACCAAAATAACACTGCAGTCTTTTCACTGATGTAAGATCACTTTATTAAACGTTATGTCTTTTAGTTATTGATGTACTATTTCTATCTATCACTACTCAAAAATACAGAAGAACCATTACTTTTACACACTATGCTCAATTAACTTAAGAGTTACTCACCAAATTTCACTAAATACTGAGGCTGTCCTTTCCTCTGAAAATACCTCAGATGAATTTATTATTAAGAATAAAACAGATGATGAAAAGTTGCAGTATGTACCATTTTATACTTAACACACTTACCTTTTCACAAAGATACACAGTTGTTCCTCTTCTGGCTGACTCTTGATCTAAAGCATTTCCTGGTCTAATAAAATGGCTAACATCAGCAATATGAACACCAACCTTAAAAAGATAAGTAAAAATATGTCAACATGTTCAACTTGGTAAATGTAGGAATGGAGTTCTAGTAAGAAGAAATTTAGCTAAACTAAAAAAGGACACAGTCACATTTACCATTTTGACTTTTGACACATGTCCATTAGTCTCTGCAGCTAAAACTGACTATACTTTGCATCAAAAATTTCTAAAGGGCCTCCCCTGGTGGTGCAGAGGTTGAGTGCTGGGCTGCGACGCTGCCCGCAGCCTCTGCAGCGCCGGTTCGTTCCCCGGCCGCCAGCGAGGGTCCCACACACACAAAAAAATTCTAAATAGGGGCTCCCTGGTGGCGCAACGGGTTAAGCACTGCACTATGAAGCAATCCGCAGCCTCTGCAGCACGAGTTTCGATCCCCAGCCGGCCAGAGAGAAACCCGCATGGCGAAGCAGACCTCTCCTGTCTTGCCCACTGCTCCCCTTAGCAGTGTATTCCAGTCAGTCTGCCTGTTCTGTTCCCTGCTCTGTCTCTGGTGAATCCTCCCCAAGCCATCTCTGGCCTATACTCCAGCACTTGTATGCATGGATGGATAAATTGTTGGGGGTAAAAAAAAATTTCTAAACAAATTTAGGGGTAAAAGAAATGAAATCAAGAACAGAACTGTATCTGGATAACAAGAGCATTTCAATATAAATACCTCCAAATTTCCATTTTCAAGTTCTCTGCAATGTAGAGCATCATCGATATCAGTACACCCTGGTGGGTCCACACTACACACACACAGATGTCTCAGGTCTTCTCGGTTCTTCATGTCCTAGCAAATGCCATGTTACAAAGATGTTTAAAACTATTTTGGTAGCACAAATGCAAGACAGCTGTTATGAAATAAAAAGTAACTATATGGAAAAACTTTATTTCATGATAATAACTACACATAATGATTTGTAACTGTAGTATCTTGCCTTGAATAATTCGACATAAAGCAGTATTTTTTCTCCAGAAATATTTATTTTTCAGTAGGCAAATGATTTTTGTAATAGCTAAAAGTGGTATATCTAACTAAATTTGGGGAAGGAGAGAACTATGGTTTCTACATATTAAAATAACATACACAGAAATCAAAGAAAATTAGTTCAACACAGTAATTTATAAAGTCACTAAGAATTCCTTTCAACTTACCTTCTCAGTAATGCTCCAGGGCATCTTTGGTAGAAAGCTAAGAACAGCCTGGGAAAAAGGCTGATGGGGAACATCATGCTCAAGTAACAAAACTTCTGTTTCAGTTTCTTTATCTCCAACTTCTCCTAAATTTTTTACAAAGTGTCCCTAAAACCAAAAGGTATTATGAAACAGGTGCATTTTGTAGCCTTTGCTTCTATTTTACTATCAATTACATTAAAGTCTTGAGCATTTATATATTATCTTCAGTATTCTAAATATTCCCAACATTTTTAAAAGTGACCCCTTGATAAATTAAAGTTGAAAATGACAAGACTATGATGGAGACTTCTTGAGGGCCCAGTTCTTATATCACAAAGCATCTGTTTTATCCCATATTACAAGTTTAAAATGTTTCAAGTATAGTAGCTTCAAAATTTGCTAGAATCCAGTTACCTCTCAAACACTATTTTCACAGTCATGAAACTTGTTTGGAAATTAAGTAACCAAATGATTTATGTTAGATTTATGATTAGTTTTCCAATTGGATGTACTACTTACCAAGTAACTTTGTGAAATATTCCTAAATATCAGTATGAATTATACAAAAGCAGATTCTATCATCACCTTTTAAAAGAAGCATCTTTATCCCCAAATTTTAATATCCTTATATAAAAGTTAATAATTTAAGCTTACATTTGGATATCTAGAATTTCTGGGCCAGCCGTCAACTGAAACAATAATTCTCCGTCCTTCTAATGTAGAAGCCTGTCTAGTTTCTATCCGAATTCGAGGGATTCTCTTATCAGCAGGTGTAAAGAGATGTCTCCTTGACTATAGAAAATCAAGGCAAAAAAAAAAATTTTATACACATACACAGAAATCTAGGGATGAAGACAAGGAGAAAGTTATTACAGATGATGCTCTTTCCTCACCTCTTTAATATCAGACTTGGAAAGCATGCCACAATATGGTCTCCAGTTCCTTTTTATTATTCCTACAACTCTACCTGTAGGCTTCAGCATTTTTTCATTTACAGCAGTCTTAAGCTGAGATTTAAAAATAAAAATCGTTATTTTTCCTCAAAATATAATGAAATAATTTGCTTCATAATTACACTGTGAATATGGGTACGAATATTTTCAGGCAGTAAATTATGACATAAAACAATAGAATCTTTGACATTTCAAAATTCTAGGTAGAGCATGCCAAACTAAATCATGGAAATATTCCACAATCATGAAGCACTATAAAAACAGTAAGTCAAAAAAAGAAAGAAAATAATTAATGTCAGAACTAAATTCTTAAATTTCAATATGGGCATTTTCTAACACACAGAGGTCTGAAAATTCGTAGATTAGGATTTTAGTTCTAGCTTGTACCAACTAGCTGTGCAACATTTATTAATCATTAAAAAAGAGATGTATCTTTAAAGGTTCTTCTTTATCCACAATAAAAATCCAAATAAAGTGTATTTATTAGAAACAGCAGAAGGATCTAATAGCATTTCATTTCTAACACTCTCCTATGGCCTAGACTTGGCAAGGAACTGAATATGATTCATGGAAAAAAAAACCTGCAAAGTGTTTATTCCAGCTACTTATAATATTCTTGTAATTCTAAAACAGGGAAATAAATGGGTTATGTCAGGTCAATGTAAGACCATAAAAATAACTGAAAACATTCTCTTGATAATAAACAGTTATACAGACAGAATTATTAAATAGGCCTAAATGTAAGAGTCCACATATACATCTGTTGTGCTGAGGGAATTTTAACATTACATAAAAGCATTTCAGAGTTCTTTTCTCACTAATTCAGACAAATCATGTACTTAAATGTCAGAGTTTAAGTTTCATACTCAAGTTAACAGACTTTATATTTCAACACATTTATTTAAGCAAGTAAGACATTAATTTAAAAAAACTACTGAGGGACTCCCCTGCTGGTGAAGGTGGTTGAGGGCCACACTGTGAAGCTGTCCGTAGCCTCTGCAGCGCGGGTTTGATCCCGCCTGGCCCACCGGTGAGAATCCCACTGGTGCGGCAGACCTCTCCTGTCTCGCCCACTGCTCCCCTCAGCAGTGTATTACAGTCAATCTGCCTGTTCTGTTCCCCGCTCTGTCTCTGGTGAATCCTCTCACCCTCCTACACCTTTGACCTGCACCCCAATTCTTATACCCATGAATAAATAAATATTAAAATAGACAAATAAATAAATAAATATAAAAACTCTGTAACCCAAAAACATTAAAAAAAAAAAAACTACTGAAATATTTAGAGGGGAAAAACCAACTATAGAACTTCTATAGAACTTCATTCAATAAATCTGAAAACAATAAAGCTTATTTAATTTTCTGAAAGCTGACATTAAATAACTATACAAAGCAATACAAATTAAAAAAAAATAAAATCTGCTTAATTTCATACAATGCATTCTCGCTCCTCTTCTTTCTCTACATCGTCTTCATTTTGACCTTCATCATGTAAAACCACAGAAGATGGTGCCACCCACTGATTCTTGGGGAGAAGCTCCACAGCCACAATGTCTTCATGAATAGCTCGGTTTAAATTTTTAAGTCCTTGTAAGATTATCTGAGTAAAACAGCAAATGGCAGGTGCCCAGATATTTAAATATTAAAATAGGATTGTTCCCTACCATTGTTTATGTATATTCTGTGTTATGATCACTATTTCGCCTCTCTATTTTTCCTTCCTTTATAGTATCCCTTTATTCCACCCTCTTAATTTCATAACATTGAGAAAATAACAGTTAGAAAATATAGGTTGTGCTCTCGGTTTCATCATCAACTCTTCGACTAAGAGACACTGGGAAATTTTTGTAATCTCTGTATCTCAAAAGTCTTGACTTGTTAAATAAGTGTACGTACTTTTAAAGGCCGGATTGAATATTAAATAAAATGAAGCATGCAAAGCAGTAAGAAGAGTATCTGGCAAATATTAAGCGCCCCCAAATGACTACTATTCATTTTACAGTGTGTGAAATCCTCTGCAGTAATTATATGTTAGGCAAATAGTATTTCATTTCCCATAACTGGTCATAATATATACAACAGGCATTCTATCTAATCTATAAGCTCCTATATCACTGCCTTCAAACTGATGAACTGGGAAAATAAAGCAAATTTAAATTCTCATAGATTTCAAACTCTTATGAAAGAAAATAATGAACAAAAAGTATTTTAATGTATAAGCAATTTATGTATACACTTGCCTCTTTATTTTCTTCAGTGTCTCCATGAACCCATACTGTAGCTTCTAAGTAATTTTCTCTGCTAGCTCTAAATGTTCCTTGAAGGTATGTACCAGATTTTATGCCTTGTTGTAGCTTACTTAAGGGAAGATGCTCTGAAAATATTATTTTTCCACTTTCTATTTCATTCTGTGAAATAAGCAAACCAAAAGATGCAATTAGTACGTAAGTCTTCTGTATGGTCAATACACAACTATTATCAATATCAGGTAATTTTTAAACATCATCTAAATTATAGAATGTATATAGAACTCTATTCAACTATGAATTTGAGAGATTATCGCAGAGTGAGGAAAAAAGTGCTTCCTACCTTAGGACAACTTACACAAATATTTCAATATCTCTACTTTCATATAGTTTAGCCACACATGGACACCATTAAGAAAACCTCTGTATGTTCCCTACTCCTACCACAGCCCTCATAAAATGAAGGCACAAGAAAAGTTATTTTTACTTTAGTTATTTTAAGTAGCTAGAGATACAAATAGAAGTAGGCTGGGAACTGCTTTAGCTCTACCACAACACCTAGCAGGATTTTTAGAAACCCTGACTGCTTGCCTCCATTAATACCCTTCTTCATTTGCACAATTTCCACCTTTTAAGATTACTTTATATTTTCTCCTTTTCTGCTTAACTCTGAACATTCCCTGTCTTCCTTCCTCACTCTCAGATGATGACCTCAATCTCCATAGTGAGAATCAAAATCAATCAGCAGAAACCTATTTCATCTTCCCACCACTAAATCTACACAACTACCTACAAAACAAAAACTTCAGCTTTCTCTGGTAACAAAGAATAAAATGTTTCTGTTCTTTCATTTGTACACTACATTCCATCTTCTCTTCTCTAGTCAAGAATTTTGTCTTGTATTACCTTCTCTCTAGAGGCAAATTTCCCTTCTCTACTGCAACATTCTCTCCATCATATAAACTTATAATAACATGACTTATTAGAAATTAAAAGTTTGGGTCCCCTTCCAGGCACAGGCCTGATCCATTGTTCCACTTCACAACAAAATGCACACTAATAGTGTCTATAATTTCTGTGTATTTACTCCTCCCACTGCACTTGCTCTTGAATCCACTATAATCAACTTTCATCCTCAGTCAGTTGAGACCATTACTGTCAAGGTAACTAGTAACACACTATCTTGCAACTGCAGTGCTCCATTGTCAGTCTTACCAGAATTTCTAACAATGATCCTTCTTTCCCTGAAACACTTATAGCATTTAACATATCCTTTCTTTGGCTTCTGTGCTACTACAGCAGTAGCTCCTCCTTAGTTTCCCTTTGCCAATTCTCCTTTTCCTGATTATTAATGTTGGAGTGTCCCAAGACTCAGTTATAAGTCCTTTTCTTTCTTTACATTTACTGCTTTGTCACTTATCTTAAAAAAATCCTAATCTCCATCACTTTCTGTCCTTTCCAAATATCAGAGCTGTGCTAAATCTGTATTTGGGGAAAAAAAACAAACAAACAAAAATCAAATCCAGCTTTTATTTTCTCACTTCTTTTTAGTTTTGGAGAGTAGCTAGTTGAAGACAAGAAGAGATAGCAGTAACAATAATGACAATAGCTACCTTTTGTATCAATAGCCACCTTTTATATTTACCATAGGTATATACCAGGCACTGTGATAAGAATTTTCTTGTCACTGTTATTATCTCATTTGAGCCTCAAAATGTTATAAAGTTATTGTGCTAAACACACTGTACAAATAAGGAAATAGGGATTCACAAAGCATAATTATTCCCTTTGCACATGCTGTCAAGCTTGCCTTGGCAATGGTCTCTTTACCCATCCCCATCTTTAATCTTGCCCTTGATACAATGTATCATCCCATAAATTAACATTAGAGTGCTCTTGCAAATAAATAACATTTTCTGCTCATTTTCCCCCATTCTTCCCAGGTACACTCTCATACACCTACAACTTCCTTTTAGCCTGCCATTATAATGAGAAGAGATCAGAATATTACCTGCTATCTTCTCTTTATAACAGCCCGTTAAGGAGCTCTTTATAAGACAGTTTTAAAATTACTGACCTACAGAATAAATTCTATGTCCTCATTATTTGGCTTCTTTCCTTCCTATTCCACCTATGACTCCCTCCTCTCCTCTTTCAGGATTAATGCCACAGTGCAGTACCTATTCATTCTTTGTCAAACAACTACCCCTTAATCACAAAGCAGTTCTGGATTCTTTTATTTATTCACTAAACAAATGCAGCTGCCATAAGCCAAGTTCTACTCAGTTCGCTGGAAGCATCATGATCTATGTTACACTGTTTTAAAAAGACAAATCTTTTAGGAATGGCATTTTCATAAGCTTATGACAGCCACTCTTGTTTATAACCCAATTCCTATTCCAAATCTAGCTTACCTACAAATATTCCAATTTTTAAATTTGGTAATGATAAACCTTATGTCATAAAATGGCTACTTCAGTATTTTCACTTCTCAAAAACAAAATAAAACAAACTCAAACATACCCCTTCTTCAGACAAACAAGCAAGACGATCTATGAGTTCAGGGTTAGCAGTTAGGCTTTTTACATATTCTTCACCTGAAAAATAAGTTATGCTCTTCTTGATAAATTCAAGTATTTTTTCTGTTTTGTAGAAATGGAAGGACATGGATAGTCTTGTGACAACATAGCTGTCAAAAAAATTTTTTTTAATCTGTCAAATTTTTTTGGGGGGGACAATCCCCATCTATTGATGTGATGGTACCCATGAGGGAGTGGGTCAAGGATTATCTATGAATTTTTATTGCTAAATCAATTCCACATGATTGTGGTGTAATTAATAGCCACTGGGTACCACAACTTACTTAGGTTAGAAATGCAGGGAAATTTAAAAATGCAAAATATCACATAAATTATAAGATCATGAAACTATTAAACACTCAAGTGAAAATAAGAACATAAGGCTTTGATAACTTTTTACATGCATTTGCAAACATAAATCAACAGCTACTAGCTACAAGCAGACTTACAAGTAAAAGCTGGAATTCCTTCTTCTATGGCTTTCTCTTTGTTTTTCCTGTCATTTGTTATGAAGATAACTTGCAGCTGATTCTCAGCTGATATTTTCTTCAGATGTTCATTGTACCACTTTGCTGCTACTCGAATTGCTCTATCATTCCTGTCATTTGAATTTTCGCCCTGTTCTTGTTCTACATAAGTTTCTCTAAATGTGAAGGAAAAGAAAAAAATTGAAATCACTGGAAACAAAGATATGAAAAAAGTCTTAGGACATAAACAATCACCACTAAGTGAAAAATTTAATGGCATTTTTTTCTTACATCAATGTATTCAGATTTATACCTCAAAGAGACACAGATAAGACCCCCACAGTTAAACTTTTAAGACAATTACTTGAAAAAGAAAACCATGTCATTAGTGGAATAACAAAAATGCTAAAACAATTCTATTTCACAAACAGAAATACTCAAAATCAGAATTTAAACTTTAGGTATTAAATTATCTAAAATACTTTGTTGAAAAAACTATTACAAAAATTGGCAGATCTGACAATGAAACTTCATTTGAGCTATAGTGTTACAGTAATTTCTAAAAGCGACATATAGTATGATTAAGTGATTTATGATGTGATTCTATAGTCACTGAATACAAAATACACAGAAATTATTCCTGGTAAAGCTCAGTGAATGGTAAAGACTATCTAGATTCATATGTATGTATGTGTGTATATATATATATATATATATGTACATATGTATATATGTATATATATGTATATACATATGCATATGTATATATATATGTACATATATATATATGTACTGCTTCTAAGTCTATCTACTCTGAATTCTCAAATGTCAGTGTACTTCTTTAAATCAATTTTTCAAAGTCAAATTTATAACAAAATTCAGTTTAATAACTTCTTTTTAAAAAAAAGATTTATTTTTTATTTATACAATAGCTGGAGTACAGGCCAGAGGTATGGGAGGGTGGGAGAATTCACCAGAGACAGAGAGGGGAGCAGAACAGGCAGACAGACTGAAAGCACTGCTGAGGGGAGCAGCGGGTGCGACAGGAGAGGTCTGCTGCGCCATGTAGGAATTTCCCTGGCCTGCAGGGAATCGAATCTGTGCAGCAGAGGCTGCAGACAGCTTCACAGGGCTGTGCTCAACCCACTGAGCCACCGGGGAGGCCCCTTAATAACTTCTAATGCTTAAAATTTTAGATTTACTTTTAATAATAGCTTTTAGAATTGTTATATTTCTTACCATTAAATGCACCTTTTAATGCCCTTAAACTTATCAAAGATACTGTTATGAATTCTTGCACTGATTTTAGCTTAACTTAAACAACAGAATCTTAGATGAGATTTGCCCAAGAGTTCTAAGATTCTTCTCTACAATCCCAGTATTGCTAAGCTCTTTTTATTACATTTAAACTGCAAAAATTCCTAGCCTCTGATTAGAAATTTGATGATCACACTCCACAAAAATTTCTTCTTTCTGCACTGAAAAACAAGTCAAGTTTCTGTTTCTGGATTTCAAGGAGGAGCTAGGAATAGGAAGTCTACAAATGTCTTGCGTTCCTTATAAAAACAGTGACGTTTGGAATATGAGAAACTAAATATTTTTCTAATTTGTATGTTCCAGTGAGATTTCTTTATCAGAATTCTACTGTCTAATCCAGTAGTTCTAACAAGGGGATGATTTCATCCCTTAGGATACATACATCTAACAATGTCTGGAGACATGTGGGGTTATTATAACTCAGTGGACAAAGGTGAGGTTGGCTACTGAAGTCTAGTGGCTAGAGGACAGGAATTCTGCTAAATATCCTATAATGTGCAAGGGACTCCTCATAATAAAGAAGATAAAGAAACAACATAATGAAAAAGCAAAATAAAACAAAAACTCCTACACTTTAAGGACAAAATACTGGGTCACCACAAGGCAGATAGGTAAAAGGGATCAAGTGTATTGTGGGTGCAAACTAGACTTTGGCCATGAACATAATGCAATATACACATAAATTTATTTATAATGTTGTATACCTGAAAGCTATATGTTATAAAGCAATGTTACTTTAGTAAGTAAAAAAAATTTTCAAGAATTATCAGAAAATTATCGGTGCTTTGCTGGTGTCATAACTTTCATGGTGTCATAACTTAATATTCATGGAAGTGTGAATCTATAATCCTAAAACAAATACAGCAGTACAAATTAACATTACTTCAACAAACAATGTCAAAAACAATTATCCAGTACAATATGTCAATAAGACCAAGGTTAAGAAACCCTGATCTAACCTAATAAAAGTATAGCAGGACTCATCATAGGTTATTTTTGTTTAAACAACAACATCATATTTTCTAAGACCACACATTATGTTCAAAGGTATTAAATCTGAAATAGCAAATTCTATCCCTTATCCTTATCTTCTTTAATGTGATCAGTCATATAGTACTAGGTTAACTTTTAAAAGCTCAATAAAACTAAATTCCTTTTATACTTTTAAACCTTTCCTTCACAAATGTTTACATATTAACTTATGCTGGTTATTCATATGATACAGTATTCCAAGAACTTAGGCAAATCTCATCTTCAAGATTCTATTGTCCCACCCATTCTAAAATCAATTCAAAATGAAAACAGTTTGAAATAAAAGCACCTACTGTAACCTAGGAGTCAAGAGACCTTGGTTCTAAGTTTTACCAAACCAACGCCTACATGACCTTAGTGAAGTTCACTTAGTATTATCTTCTGTACAACTGTGTAAGAACCAACAAATATTCCCATAAGTATGGGTTTCTATAGCAAGTATCTTCTGACAATGTTACAAATTATTACCAAGAACCCTCCCCCAAATTTAACTAATTCTATGTTTTTCTTAACAAAATTTCCCACCTATGGTGCTCATTAGTGAATGTATAGAAATGTTTCTCCTGGTTACTAGTCACATCTCGGATCCTTTTATATACTGGAGCACTTCGATTTCTCACTTCTTGGAGAACTGTTTGTAACACAATTACATTCCTGATGGCAGGGTCTTCAAGTACATCAATCTAAAAAAAAAAGAAAGAAAGGTTAATTTCTCCTATGTTCATTTATTGCTACTGTAACAAATTCTGTCAGTTTAAAATCACTACACATTAGCTAAAACGGTATGTTGCTATAAAAAACCCTTCGTGTCAATTTGCGAAGAGCACATGTAAACAGACTCATTAACAAAACTTGATGGAATTAAATCCATTAATATAGAAATAAATATGTTGACCCACATAGCTAGCGTTTGCAGGCACTTACAAGTTGCCTGGGGGTCGCAAGCTGGAGGCCACAGTAGCCCAGGTCTCCGGCCTCCAGACACTTACAATCTAAGGCAGAAGAGACACCAGGAGTTAGAAGATTAACGTGTCTAGAAACTAACGTGTCTATAAGTTGAAAACCGCAGAACAACAACAAAACAACAATGCACAAGGAAAACCACCCCGGCCCGGGGGACAGGAGGCATGAGTCCCTTTCGGGTAAGCCTCTCCTTTAGGACGAAGCACAAGATGCGCCCCTAAGGGCCTCAGTTTCCCTATCTGCCACACCCCCTTCTCCAGGTAGGGCCGCTCTGCCCAGGGTCACCTGTACGCCGACCCACCTGGTGCAGCAGCACGTTGGTATCAGGGAGCAAGTAGTGCGGCCGCGGGCAGAGGCTGCTCGCCGGGTCCAGGGGCTCCGGCTCGAGGGCAGGTCCCTCGTGCGCCCCGCCGCACGCCGCGCACCCGGGCGCCCCACAGCCGATGTCGTCCCGCAGGTAGTGCTCGCGCACGATCTTCATCACGCCGCCCGCCCGCGTCTTTTTCAAGAAAGTCTTGGACTTGAGCATCTTGCCTCGCGGGGTGGAAACTCAACTCCGACAGCGCTCTTCCGGCACAAGGTGCAAAACTGGGGTTCCTGCCGCACAACTACACCTCACCCCGAGGTTCGCCCCTTCCACTCCGGGCCATTAGGGAACGCCTCGCGCGGGAAAACGCCGAGACTAATGTCGGTTGGCTCTTTGTGAACTGCGAGGATTGGGCGAATGTCCGGCAGATAGGCGGGCCCCAGAGCCATTTCCGCCCCAGTACGGCCATTTCCGCCCCTGTACAGCGCGGAGGCCGCGCCTGGACTCCAACTCCCAGCAAGCCTTGCTCCCGGCGGGTCCGCGCGGGCTGAGTTCCGGCCGGTCCGCGCGGGCTGAGTTCCGGCGGCGTGGGCGTGTACGCGCTCTTACTTCCTCCGTCCTCCTCGGAGCGCGGAAATGGTCGTCTAGGTTACGGTTCCTAACGGTCTCTGGCCCCGACGTCTCTAGTTGCGGGCTTGCAACCCGCAACTCAGATAATTCTTCAAAATAGATTTGCTGTCTGGAGACATATTCAGCTCCTCGAAGTGACGCTTGACCTTTCCTTGGATGTGAAGTAATTGAAGCTTTCGAGGTAGCTCGCGGCTGTGTCCCATCCTTTCCCGCGCGGGGCAAGGACATCTCCAGTGCTGCCAAATTTGGGTCCTGTGTTTCTGATGCAGGTGTCAGTGTTCCCAGACTCTTGATGGTTGTAATCCAGGAGGTGTTGCCTGTCTTTGGTGTCACTTTCATGGCTCCTTTTGATTTATAAAGGAGGGAAGCCGATCCAACTTAACTTTTTACTGTTTTCCCTCCACACACCGTTTTCCTAATCATTCAGTTTAGAAAAATTGCCCCCAATACCCTAAATAATATATTGTATCGTGTAGTATTAAAACAAAGTTCTTGCTTAAATTCTTGTAAAAGGGGAAGAAGTTGTATTTATTTTTCAATTTTATTTATCTTATTTTTATTTATTTTCTATATTTATTTTTACATCTTTTTCATTTTTGCACAATGTATGTATTTTCATCTTGGTTATATTCCCTATACGATTCCCATCCCCCTTATTTTGACCTTAATCCCTTCTCCCTTCTATTCCCCTCTGCCCCCCTCCTGTTTATAGTTGCTTGTTGATTTTGATTTTTACTTTGTTATAGTCTTTCCTGGTCCCTTATTTAGGTTTTCTAAATTTCTGCTATGAGTGAGACCATCTGGTATTTTTCTTTTTCTTTCTGGCTGATTTCGCTAAGCATGGTCCCTTCCAGCTCCATCCACGTTGCTGCAAATTAGAATTCTTGAGCTTTGTTTTGTTTTGTTTTGTTTTGTTTTGTTTTCTCCTCCTCTGCCTCTTATTTTCGTTTTGCTAACTGGAAATCTATTTTGAAGAATTATCTGAGTTTTCTTTTGTAAACAAAATCTTCAGTGGTGCTTTAACACATTTGACATGCAAGGCCCACCCCACACTTGATCTTTAGGATGCATGTGTGCTTGTGTTTGAAAGGTAGGAGTCACAACTCAGATTCACAAAGACTTGGCGCCCTGCCCAGCTACCACTATCTTCTGCTGTTTTGCTCTTTAGTCACCACAATACCAACCTTAATTCCTGTATGCTTTGCCCTTTCTACTCCTCCTGTCCTAATCCAAGATTCTACGGTTATTCTATATAATATTCCCCTGACTTAACTTATATGAAATCTTGAGTCTGTGTTGCATTTATTAGTATCATAACTGAGTACTAATGAGTTAGGGCTTTCTCCCTTTAATTCATACATTTATGTGTTTCTTCCGATTAAAAGCTTCTCCTCTGGGAACTGGGCTTTTTGTTCATTTAAGGGCCTGTGTTTGTAGTAGGATTTAATGAGTGTATGAATTGAGCAGTAATTTACTATTTTGTCTTAGATTCAGATGCCTAATAATTTAGAGAATCCTTGGTATTTCTAATACATTTCATGTTTTCCATAGAGAATATTTGAATGCATTTAAATTTGTATTTTTTTTAATCTACAGAAGAGTTGGAGAAGAAAACTGACCAATAATAGTAAAAAATGTCTCGAAAAATTTCCAAATCATCAAATAAAGTGAACATTTCTAGCTCTCTGGAATCTGAAGATATTAGTTTAGAAACAACAGTTCCTACTGATGATATTTCTTCATCAGAAGAGCGAGATGGTAAAATGAAAATCACCAGGCAGTTAATTGAGCGAAAAGAACTACTTCATAATATTCAGTTACTGAAAATAGAGCTTTCCCAGAAAAATATGATGATTGACAATTTGAAAGTGGATTATCTTACTAAGGTAAGAGGAGGTGTAAATTTTATCTGTACACTTTATTGTCTTTAAACTGCAGATAAGGAAGAATTAAAAATATATATATATAATTTGAACTTAAAGTGATATATTAATGTTTCATCACAAAGATATCAAGTATTTTGAGAGGATAATTAACATATTCTTATATGGCTGTTTTTGGAAAGAGCAGCAGAGTGAATAATATTTCTGTGTGTTAAAAAATCCTGCAGGAAGGGGTGATTTAAAGGTGAACAGAGATAATTTGTTTTCGTGGGTTCAATTTTTAAATCTTAACATGTTCTTTGCTTCATTGAGAAGTAGCTTTGATGTGACTTATTTGGAAGAATCAAGATCATAATTATGAAATTGACTTTGTATAGTCATCTGCCTTGCAATTCTGGCTTCTTTGTCACCTTTCTATTTGATAGCTACTGTGCCATAGGCCAAGTATCAATTCAGTTCCCATTATCCTGTTTGCCAAAATAGGAAGGGATGTGGTAGTCCTGTGTTTCTATTTGCAGTCACAGAGTATTTTATGTAATACCCAGATTATCCAGAATCCTTGTGGCCACATGTAGCATTGACCTTTTTTAGACATTTCTCTTCTGGACCTGTGTGAACTTTTCTTTAACATACATACTCTGGGGTAGAACTTAGGGCTCACAAGGCGCATATGTACCTAATTTAACAAAATGTACTGCCCAGTTGCTCTCCAGAATACCTGCCCTGGTCTACATTCACTCTTTTTTTTAGTTCTAAGAGTATTTAGAATATTCTGCTTAGAGACTTCTTGGAGGTAAGATGTTTGCTGTCAAATAGATGAAGAAATACTACATATGCTAGGATTAATCTTCCAAAATTCATCAAATTCAAGGCTCCTTAATTTTAAGATGAACCATTACACCTATCACTACGGTTAAAAACCGCCAAGTTAAATGCTTAACTGCTATACATTATAAAATGCATTGTATTTTCATAGATGTACTGTGTGAAAGAGTCTTTTATTTAGAGAAGGGATCAATTTTTTTAGGGAACTGATAAATTGATTTAGGGATTGAGAAAGTGACAAAATTTTTAACCATTCATTCATTATCCAAAGCTTACTGATGATCAGGAATATGAAGCTAAAAATCTCACATTCTGGCATTATAAAAAATAAATTCTTTCTAAACTGCAGCTCCATAATAATGGTTGGAGTTCACAGCAACAATAAACTGAATATAAAACTGTTTTTGCTGTTAACGTTAAATGACCTGTCTTTGGAAGAATTCCAGTACTGGTCTTGAATGACAGAGTGTCATGAAGATGATAGATATTTCTTTGTGAGAAAAGAGTGGCCCTGCTGTCCGTTTTTTTTAGGAATTAGGTTTAGCTCTTAATACCAGAGATTTGGAAAAGAGTCTAGGAGATTGGGATCCAAAGTGGAAACTGTAGCTTAAGCAAGATAAGGATTTGCTTATCTGGTATAACACAAATCTGAAAATAGGTAATTTAAATCTTTTTTTTTAAAGATTTATTTATTTATGCATACAAGAGCTGGGGTACAGGCCAGAGGTATGGGGGGAGGGAGTGAGAGGATTAACCAGAGACAGAGTGGGGAACAGAACAGTCAGATTTACCAAGTACACTGCTGAGGGAGCAGCAGGTGAGACAGGAGAGGTCTGCTGCACTATGTGGGTTGCTCCCTGGCTGGCCAGGGATTAAATTCGTGCTGCAGAGTTTGCGGTCAGCTTTATAGGTTGTGTCTTAACCTCCTGCGCCACCAGGGAGCCCCTGAAAATAGGTAATTTAGACCTGGTGTTTTGGGAGGAATCCAAGCTCCTGTTAACCTTTTGTGCAGCTACTTTTATCATGCATTTAACCTTAAAATCACAAATGGCTGATCTACTTTCAAAATTGTGTACAGGCAGAACTAAGGAGAACAGTAATGGGGAAATGGGTCGTATACTAAATGAGCCAGTCCCCTTTAAAAAGCTTTTCCAAAAGCTTAAGTCGTGACCTTAGAGAACTTTATGGCATGACCAACCTTACCCAGTGCAAGGGGGTGGCAATCTGGGAAATTTGAAATTTTTAACTGGACACATTGTTATCACTAGTAACAATCAGAATATGTCAGAAAGAGCATAGACTTGATGGTGGGAGAAAGTAACAGTTATTCTGCTAGTCAGGGTATTTTTTTACTTAGGAAATTTGTAAATTTGTGTAATCTGACATCTTTCCTCGCCAATAGGACAGCAGTTCAGTGTTATGTATATATGGCCTTATTACAGTTTGTTATGAATCTTGACCCATGTTGATTTGATTTCTCCATGTCTAAAAAAAGGAACAGATAGTCTAAAGAAACTTAAAAGGCATTGATTCACATTTAGCACTCAGCTGCTTGTCAACTTCAAGAAGTTAGAAGGGAACTACTTTAGACAGACTTTTTATAGTAAAGAATTGTTAGCTTTATACTTTTTCCCCTACTCACTGCTGTCTAAATCCCCTTCTTTGATCCATTTCTCACTTTCATTCTATTTCACTCTTCTATCCCAAGTTTTAAATGCCAAAAACTCTTGACTCTTTAGACATCTGTGAGTTCCTATGGCTTGCAGACGGAAAGAGTACATCTTCCCACCTTTTTATCTCTGAGTTAAGGGACTGGATTTAAAAGTCAGTTGAAATTGTATCAGTTAAAATTTTGGAAAAAGTAGAGGTTTCTTCTGGTAATAGGATTCTTGATTTGCAAAATAGCAATTATGAGGAATATGATTATTATTAATTGATTTAAGGCATTTATTGAGATATGCTGCCGGGAATATAGTGATAAATGTGTGGGAATCCCCTTTTTATGGAGATCACATTCAAATGAGTGCAAGATCAATAAACAAACAAGGTGTCTTCAAGGAATATAAGATTGGATGAAATTGGTAACTAGTTTCCTTTGAATGTTTATTGTGTCACCCATGTTATAGTCAATTGAAGATGTATACTTGTCAGATACATGGATCTGGAGTACAAATGCAGGATCTGGCCTGGAAGTAATTACCTGAGTGAAGTCCCCTCATAAAACTCCAGTTATCAATGAACTTCTCAGTGAGAGTAGGGTAAGAAGGAAAAAGCCCTAATGACAGCCTGGCCAAAAAACGCTACTTACTAGACAGCAGTTTCAAATCATAGTGTGAAAGCCATTTGTATAAGCATTTGTAGTTTGTGGACATATCCATTGCCCAGAAAACCTCTGTTCATTTTTAACCTGTTTCTTTTAAGTGCTTTTTTATATTTAATTTTTTATGATATTTTAATGATCAGAGTTTTTAATAATACATTTGAAAATTGACCTCTTTTTTATTAAGATTGAAGAATTGGAGGAAAAACTTAATGATGCACTTCACCAGAAGCAGCTACTGACATTGAGATTAGACAACCAATTGACATTTCAACAGAAGGATACTAGGTAAGAAGTTTTAAAAAGCAACAGTACCTTCTTCATATTTAAAAAGCAACAATACCTTCTTCAGCAATACCTTCTTCATACCTAAATAATTTCATTACCTGCTTCTATTGTAAGAGATTTAATTCAAAGATGGTTATAATTTTTACATCAAGACCAACCATAAATAATAGATTACTTTTTACAGTACACAAAATACAAAAAGTCAAAATACAACATTTATTCAACAAAGATTGCTAATGTAAATGAATCATAAACGATAATGGAAGCTCATTAACCTTACCACTACTTAACCTGTGTCTGGATTACCCTTTCTTCATTTGGTTTGTAAAACATACTGATTGTTTCTCATGGTCCATTAAGCTTCCCTGGCTGAAGGTACCCTCTGTTTGCCTGCATACTTTCTCCAGCTCAGCGTGTGCTGAACAACAGTCCCTTGTATTTACTCTAAAATATGCCTCTGCAATTGTACTTATTATCCTTATATAATTTAATTAGGAATTATATGAACAAGTATGAGAACAAAAGTGTGTCATGTCTGTAAATGTTATAACAAATTATTTGGAAAGGTGCAGTAAAATTGAATGACTGAAAATATCATCAAATTAAGTATCAGCAGGACAGAGATGGGGGGCAAAAATTAAACAAATCCATAGAAAGTGTCTTCTCACACTTCTTCCCAAGTGACTTTTAAGGTCTCTTGCCATGGTAAGAAATCGAACTCGGAATGCATGAATAATAATTTACACAAAAATAAAGCATACTTCCATATAACAAACTTTGGACCCTATGTAAAAACTTTGGCAAATGGATGTTTATTTCTGTATTTTAATTAGAAGTAAATGTATAAACTATGATCTAAAGATGTAAATCTAGGAGTCATTAGGATGTAGGTAGTATTTCAGTTGTGCTTCAAACGTAAATAGAGAGGAGAGGACCAGGTAGCCAACATTAAGACGAACCAGAAAAGTTGACTGAGAAAGAGCCATCCATAAAACAGAAAGGGAGAGAGTACGGTATCTTGGGAACTAGGGAAAGGAACTATGTAAGTAAGAAGAGGTCAGTTGTCTAGTGCTATCATTAGATTAGGGATGAAAAGAATTGAAAATTGATCATTAGCCATCTGGATGTGACTGGTGACCTAGAGATTTTAGCAGGATGGTGAAAACCTGATTGGTCTGAGTTTAAGAGCAAAGGCATTGGGGACAGTGAGTATAGATAACTTTTGAGAAGTTTTGCTGGAGGGGAGGGAGCAAAGAAAGGGAGTGGTAAAATGGGATCAGAAGTTGTATTTTTTTTTTATTATTCATTTGTTTTAAGATAGGAGAAATAGCATTATGTTTGTATGTTAATGGAGTGATATGATATAGTAGAGAAGGGAAAAATCAGATGGTTCCTCCCTATTCAAATCTTTGGGTTGATAATTAACTGTAACAGTTTCTACTCATGTTTGAGAATGGTGATTATGTGCACATTACGGTTTTCATTACCTCATTGGTTGAATGAGTACCTTATGGTGCTTCAGTGTTGCTGTCTTAAGAGGTATACCTTGAATTATCTGGATAAACAAAAATGAAAATTATTTTCATGAATAAGGTCCAAAGCAGATATATAAGACTTAAAGACCTAAACCTTTAATAGAGGAATTATATAACTTTATAATTTGAATTTTTTAATTCTTTAAGAATATCAATTCTCTGATAATTTTTGTGATTGCGCATTTGTTAATTAGTATAGAATTACCATTTCATGTTTAAATGGGTAAATAAGTATTTAGAGCCAAAAATACTGTTGAGCTCATGTCCTAATTTTATAGTACCATAAAATTAAATCTCAAAGATTTTTTTAAGCTTGCCATAAATTCTCTCCTAAAATGTAGGAAATATCAGGAACTTATGAAACAAGAAATGGAAACTATTTTATTGAGACAAAAACAACTAGAAGAGACAAATCATCAGCTAAGAGAGAAAGCTGGAGATATTCGACGAAACCTGCGTGACTTTGAGTTGACAGAAGAGCAGTATGTGAAACTAAGAGGTTTTCCTGAAGATCAGCTTTCTATTCCTGAATTTGTATCTGTAAGTATCTTGTATCATTAAAAAAAAAAAAAAATCCTGTATATATTGTCAGACTAAAACTTGCCCTTTATGTAGTAGCTCTAACTTTTGAAATAATTAAATTGGTTTCTTACTTTGTGGACTTAACCAAGATGGTGACTGATATTCATGTCACCAGGTTTTAAGGGTCTTGACCATTGAGCAATAAATAGGGCTAATGGCTGCATATTCCAAAAAGATGGATTATTTTATCCCAAACTGATGATTTGTAGCGTTCTAAAAATTAAAAATTAAAGAAATAATTGACAAATTACTGGTTGCCAATGGTTAAAGATAACAGAAGAGAGTGTAATTTTAAAGGGGTAAAATGAGGGAGATTTTTGTGATTCTAGTTCAGGATCTTGATTGCAGTGTTGATTACACAAGTCTACACTAGACTTCATCTATGGCAGTTCTCCAGATTTTGGAGTGTCCTAATTCCTTTTCACTCTAAAAACTACTGAGGACTACCCCAGTAATTTTTCCTGGGCTATGTCTATTAATATTTGCCATATTAGAAATTAAAACAGACATTTAAAAACAAGAATGCATAAGCACACATTCCTTAGCCTTAAGGTGTTGCTGTCATCACCCATCAAGCAGCCACTGGCAAGTACCACTGAACAGGAATAAGAAAGAGTGAAAATTGTAGTATTAACTAGCAAAAACAGTTTTCATCTTATGAATTCCCTGAAAGGGTCTCAGGGTGGTGGGGTGGGGACCTGGGACCACCTAACCGCACACTGAGAACTGTTGTTTTGTAATGTATAGCTATTTCACCCTAAGAAGCTTAATTTTTTTTCTTTTGTAAAAGGGTTAATAATGATGACAGCACCTTTTTATTGAGATAAGTATGAAGAGTAACTTGAATATGTATGTAAGACATATATTTGTGAGCCCAGGGCTCACAATATAGTAAACACATAATAAATATCGCCTATTATTTTTGCTGAGGTGAGGGTTGCTACTGTGGGTTCTTATTTGGATAAGGTTTCCAAGTTAATGATTTCCTGTGAAATGAAGAGTTACTGTTTTGTCCACCATTTTATTTAGGTAGCTCAAATAACATTTTTTTCTGTCTAAAGTGCACTGTCAAAAACAAATGTCTCAAGTGCTGTCCTTGAGGCTTTATCCATAGTAATTATCAGGTATCCCTGTAGTGGCAGTTACACATATTTTTGCTCTCTGTTCAATGTTCCTTGTTGTATCTTTTGTTTTCAGACAATATTATCCTAACTAGTTAATTATACACAGATTATACTTCATTGTGTTGAAGGACAACCGTAGTACTTGCTGCTTACCAGATACGGTATTCTTGCAATACAGCAATATATTATGGAGTTTCAGATTGTATGCTTGTACAGTGCAAGACCCTGAATTACACTTTCCTAACTTGGTAATGGCTTCTTAGTTTTAAGGAACTTGTCAGATGGCTCAGGCCAATTCCTGTAAGAGTTACAAGAAAGGTTTGATATGGAAGTGGTGATGTAAAAGATACCTCCCTCCTGATTCATCCTGATTATCTCTTATACTGCTTCACTAGTAGCTTAACATATATATTTTGAAATATATATATATATATTTTTAAAAATAATCTTATTTATTTTTGTGTAGAAGAACTGGGTGTAGGTCAGAGGTGCAAGGGTGAGAGGATTCACCAGAGACAGAGTGGGGAGAAGAACAGGCAGATATACTGAAATACACTGCTGAGGGGAACAGCAGGAGAGACAGGAGAGGTCTGCTGTGCTATGTGGGTTAGCTCCCTGGTATGGGGGTTGAACTCAGGTTGTCATGGTGGTAGCGCTGAGACTTAACCCCTTGGCCACCAGGGAGGCCCAAGTTTGTCATATATTTACACATCAGAAACAAATGAGGCAAAAATTCCTGCCTCACAGAGCTTGTGCTCTCGTAGAAGCACACACACATTAATTAAAAGTAGAATATGTTTAATGTTTATCACAATGCTATGGAGAAAAATGTAGGAGTGAAAAAGAACTGCTGCCAGATAGAAGATGTTATTTTAAATCAGGCTAAAGGAATCCAGGAGGGTTTTACTGATAGGGTGACATTTGATCAGAGACCTGGAGAAAGTAAAAGCATAAGCAGTACATTTATATGTGGGAAGAACTTTTCTTTCAGAGGAACCAACAAGAGCAGAACTCTTGTTGAACACTTGATGTGTTCAGGAAGTAAGCGGATGGTGTGAAGTGGGCAGTAGGAGATGAGGAGTAAGTAGTAAATGGAATGTTAATAGAAGAGAGGAAAGAGAGACTGTGTCAGGAATGGGGAGTTACAGGCAGTCTGGGCTTTCAGAGAACTTAATTGAACATTAAACTCTAATAAAGTGTTAAAGGTCACTTAGTGAAGTTTTATTTTAGTTTTTATACAAACAACACAAAATTTTATTGTTTAGGAATTTAAGCTAAAACTCTAACTTTTCCTTTTATTACCTTAACACTTTCATTACTGATAGTCAAGAATACTATAAATTAGCAAATTTTAATTGTGATTTGGATTTTAAGACTGCTTATTTGTTTTTTTTAAAGCTACGTTTCTACGAACTAGTGAGTCCATTAAAAAAGGAAATTTCTGAACTACAAGTGAAAAAGAATGAACTGTTAGAAGAATTAACTGAAAACAAAGGCCACCTGAAGCAACTGACGGAGGTTTGTATGATTTTGATGGCTGATGGAAAGAGGCATCAACCTTGTCTATAAAAAGTGCCTCAAGATTTGAAATTAAGAAATATAAATCAATAATAGGAAAATAGGACTGTGAGATGCAACTGCTGTGATTTTTCATATGTAGAGAGACAGATTAAATGGGAAATTGTCATCTTAAAGACTGACAAGATAAGTCTGTGATATTGATCTGTAATCCACGGCTGAGTATTTTTTTGTTGTAACTCATTTCACTCTCAGTTTTTCATTACAGGTTAACCTTTTTTTTTTTGTGATATGAAAGGAAGCTACTGTGTATCATTCATTTTGCCTTTTCATCAAATATATTTAGCTTGCCACTACTTGTTCAGAACACGTGCAGCAACACTAGTGTCAACCCCAGGGATGTGTTTGGGGTTGTGCCAGGTGTTGGCAGCCGTGACCCAAGAGACACATTATCTGCATCTAGAGTCTGACCCTAGATGATGTTTTGATGCTTGCATTTTCTGTGTGACCTTGAGCAAGTCATTTAATGTTTCCTTCTCTGTCAGATAGAGAAAATACTACTTCTTGTCCTTTTATTATGTTTCTGTTTCAAAGCAAAACCATGATTTTACCAAAGTTGCATATAAATATTTATCTTATGTCCTATTTAAAGGGCTACTTTTACCAAAGATGTATTATTCAGAAATAAATATATCTCAGGACTCTAATTTGCTAAACTGTTAGTAGTAGTTAGGGTCTAGTTAAATCAATAGAGGGTCAGTGCTACAAACAAAGTAAAAGCTCAGTTTCCTGTCATAAGAGCAACAAAGTCAGCAGGAACACTGCCAAATAGGCAAATGTGGTGATATGAACACAAGGTTCTATTCTGTTTTTTCCTTTCTTCTGCTAACCTGCCATATTGTGCACGTAAATCATTTGCACATTTAGATAAATAGCTCTTAATTAAAAAAAAAATTCATCTGTAGTCAAGATAATAAAGGACAAAGTTAGAAGGCATCTAGTTTTGCATTCCTGGGCAAATCATTTGATCTCAGTTGTTACTCTGAAATGCCCAGAGTGGTGATAGTGGTGATGTAGGGCTCACTGGGGAGATAGCAATAGACAGATTTTCAGACTTGGTTCTGTAATATATTAGGTACCTCAGCATCTTTCAAAGATTTATTATTTTGTAGGGGGCTAGCTGGATGAGTATTTTTATCCTTGTTTCTATCAAACCATCTTCTTTTTAGTCACCTTAACATTTGGAATTTCTCTTGAACAAAGGACTGCATGGACCAAAAAAAAAAACCAAAATCAACAAAAGCTTGTAGCCTTAGAATAATCATTAACATGTTAGTATGTGATACATTTTTGCTGTGTGGCAAAGCATGTCTCTACTTTCAAAGGTCAGTAATGGCATTGTATCTTAAATTTTTGTTTGTTTTGACATTGCTAACACTTTTAATATTTTACTGATAGGAAAACAGAGAAAATTAACAATGGCTTTATTCATTGGGTGCCCAAATGTTTTTAATGAATGCCCTGATAACTCTTGAACACAGAAAGAGTTTTGTTTGTGAAGTTGTACTGGTTAGGGATCTCCAGAGAAATAGAACAAACAAGATATGTATATATAGTGACTTATTTGTCTTCAGTAATTAACTTATATGATTTTTGGAGCCTTAGTGAATCTAAAATCTGATGGGGTAGACTGGCAGTTTGGAGATTTGGGAAATAGTTGCAATTTGAATCCAAAAACAGTCTGTCTGCTGGCAGAATTCTTTTTAGATCATGGGAGGTCAGTACTTTTCCTATTAAGACCTTCAACTGATTGGACGGGGCCCACCACATTATGGAGAGTAATTTGCCTTAGTCAAACTCTACTGATGTAAACATTAATCTCATTGAAGGAATAGTTATACAAAAACACCTTTGGTAATACTTTATCAAATATTTGGGTACCGGTGGCCTAGCCAAGTTGACACAAAGTTACCAACAACATAACCCTTCCATGTGTAAATTTGTTTCTTACAGGTTTATCACCTCTCAACTACTACTTTGTCTTAAACATTTCCTTAAATTTAGTAATAATGTAGTCGATAAAATTATAATCAGAAAAAAAGAAACTAAGCAGTGTTTTATATACTTAATAAAATGCATTAGAAACTCAAGAAATGTGATTTAAGATCTAATGGAATTCTTTTGTATTAAGACCACTTAGGGCCTCCCTCGTGGCGCAGCGGTTGAGCGCTGGCTGCAAGGCTGCCCCTGGCCTCTGCAGTACCGGTTCCATCCCCGGCCCCCGGCGAGGGTCCCACATGGTTCGCGGACCTCTCCTGCTCCGCCCGCTGCTCCCCTCAGCAGTGTGTTCCGTTGGTCTGCCTGTTTTGCTCCCCACTCTGGCTCTGGTAGATTCTCTCATCCTCCTGCGCTTCTGACTATACCCAGTGCTTGTATAAATAAATAAATAAATCTTTTTTAAAAAAAGGCCACTTACTATAATTGTAATTAATAAATAATATAATTTATATTATTACAAACGTAATAAATAATATAAATAAGACCCCTGAATATTTTTAAATTAAAATTCAACCCAGCAAAAACTTTTTGTAAGGATATAATGAATAATAAATATTAATTAACCCTTAAGAAATTTTGTATAACTATATTATGGGGGGCTATTTTTTAAAATGTTTTTTGTTAAGTTATTTAAACATCTGGGGAATTCAGAAATACTATTTTTTTTTAAGATTTTTTTTTTTTTAATGTATACAAGAACTTGGGTGTAGGCCAGAGGTGCAGGGGGTGAGAGGATTCACCAAAGACAGAATGGGGAGCAGAGCAGACAAAATATGCTGCTGAGAGGAGCAGCAGGTGAGACTGGAATGGTCTGCGCCATGCGGGTCAGCTCCCTGGTTGGAGATGGAACTCATGCTGCAGTGTCTGATGATCACTTGATAGTCCTGAGACTTAATCCCTTGTGCCACCACGCAGGCCCCAGAAATACTATTTTTGAATCCCAGCTCTGCAAGTTGAAGATGGTATGATGGTCTTGAATAAAAAACTTGGTCTCTGGGCCTCCCTAGTGGCGCAGGTGGTTGAGCCCCGCACTGTGAAGCTGTCCGCAGCCTCTGCAGCGCGTGTTTGATCCCGGCCAGCCAGCGAGAATCCCACATGGCGCTGGAGACCTCTCCTGTCACGCCCGCTGCTCCCCTCAACAGTGTATTTCGTCAGTCTGCCTGTTCTGTTCCCCACTCTGTCTCCGGTGAATCCTCTCACCCTCCCATGCTTCTGGCCTGTACCCTGGTTCTTAAATAAAAATAAATAAATTAAAAAAAAAAAAACACTTGGTCTGGGCCTCTCCGATGGCGCAGTGGGTTGAGCGCAGCGCTGTGAAGCTGTCGCAGCCTCTGCAGCACTGGTTCGATTCCTGGCCTTCCAGGGAGATTCCCACATGGCGCAGCAGACCTCTCCTGTCTCACCCGCTACTCCCCTCAGCAGTGTATTTCGGTCCTTCCGCCTGTTATGCAACCTGCTCTGTCTTGGGTAAATCCTCTCACCCTCCCACACCTCTGCACTGTACCCCAGTGCTTGTGTGAATGATAAATATATCTTCAAAAAAACCCCAAAAAACTTGGTCTTCTCTATGCCCCACTCCCCGATCAAACAACTTCTCTAATTATAAAATAGGAATGATAATTTATAACACCTACATCACATAGTAATTTATTTTTATTTAATCTTGTTCAATTTTTTTTAATTAAGGTGACATTTGTTTACAATACACAATGTATAAGACAAATGTATAAGATCATACCTCTTCAGGTGTATGTCACCACACCACACCCACCAACAATATATCCATTGTTCTGCGCCATAGTCCATTTGGCACCCTCCACACATTGCTCTCCACCATCCCCCTTTCCCTGTGGTAGTCTCAATTCTACAGTCAGACTTCTAGCATTTATTATTGGTTTGATTTTGTCTGACCCTTTGTTTTGAATCCCTATATCCCCCACATAAATGAAACTAGCTAGTATTTGGCTTTACTCTGACTTACTTGAGTTAGGCTTATCCCCTCCAGTTCCATTCATGTTGTTGCCAATGGCAAGAGTTCATCTTTTTTTGGTAGCTAAGCAATATTCATTGTGTGTGTATGTTCCACATTTTCCTAATCCGCTCATCAATCCTTGGGCACTTTAGATTGTTTCTCTGTAACTCGGCTGTTGAATAATGATGCTACAAACACATGCGTGTATATATATATATATATATATATATATATATATATATATATATATATCCCTTTAGATTAATGTCTTTGCATTGTTTGGGTAAATTCCTAGGAATGGATTTGCTAGATCATATGGTAGATTTATTTTTAATATTTTGAAATTTCAGTGCTGTTCTCCATAGGGGCTAGACCAGTGCACATTGTATGAGTGTAATTTTTTCTCCCCATCCTTTGCACCATTTGTTGTTTCAGAGCCATTCTCACAATTGTGAGATTTTGGCTTTTGTTTGCATTTTCCTCATGATAAATGATGATGAGCACTTTTTCATGTGCAGTTTGACCTAGCATCTGAATGTCTTCTTTGGGGAAGTACAGATTTAACTCTTCTGCCCATTTTTTGATGGGGTTATTTTCTTGTTGTTGAGTTCTATGTGTGCTTTGGAGATACTGGATATCACCCTCTTGCCAAATGTTTGGTGGCAAATATTTTTATTTAATAGAATATCTTTCTATTTCTTTGACTCTCCGATTTCTTTTAAGAATGTCTTATTACAGCGTCATTGTATAGATCTTTCAGCTTAAGTTCAATCCTCGGTATTAATTTTTTAAGTGATAATAAATGGTATTTTCTTGATTTCTTTCTCTTTCAGCTCATTGTTTGCATAATGGGAACATAACTGATGTTTGTAAATTGATTTTGTGACCTGCCACTTTACTCATTATTTCTAATAGTTTTTTAGTAGAGTTATGAGGTTTTCTATATACGTTACGATGTCACCCGCAGATA